AAATTCTAAAATCCACTGACTCAAGCAAGCAAGCAAACACTGGCAAAATGTGGGAACCTAACGAGCACGTTGGGATAGATGTCCTAGTGTCATTTGCAACTTTTTCTCCATCCATTTTCTAACCGCTTTATGCGATACAGGGTCACAGGGCAGACGCAGCCTATCCCAGCAAGCAACGGGAGCAAGGCAGGATACACCCTGGATGGGACGCCAGTCCTTTGCAGGGCAGACGTTCAAGCGCTTAAACCACACATACAGTAAGGTGGATGCTGCACACTGGTGGTGGTGGAGGGGAGATTATTATAATTATTATTATTGAATAGTACTGATATTTGACTGCTGCAGTCCTGCAGATTCTTAGTGTCTCAGTTCAGTGCTTCAAGCACTGTAGCTCCTCATCTGCCATAGGTGTCTTTAAAACCTCAGCTGCACAGGACAGGGGAAAGCATTGTTTGGACTGCTGTTTCCATGACAGCAGTAGCCTCCAAATGTATTCATTAACCTGATAAACCGTAACTCAATATTGATGCAGCAAAGGAAATGAAGACGCTTCTCGTGATGTTGCAATACTCACTGTATGAATTAAAATGTAATAAAAAAGGTACAGAATGATGTGAATTTTCAGTTCAGTTCAGTTTATTTGTCATATGCACCAGCGCAATTAAATGCTTATTTGCATGTGCGCTCCCATACAAAGAGATTAAAGGAATCACCAAAAACATAAACACTGAACAGCAGCACTCCTTCCAGCGAAGTATTGCAAGAGACAGCGAGTTGTAAAAATGTCCACAGTAGAGGGGAGCTGTACCCCAGTGATGGACTGGGCTGACCTGATCACCCCCTGTGACCCCTCCTGGTCAGACAACGAGCTGCTGTGATCCCACACGTGAGCACACTCTCGCTCTCAAAGGGCTCAATATATGTAATTACATATAATTTCAAATATACATACGCTGAAAAATACTCTGTCAATTCAATACTAAAGGTAATAGTCAGTTGTTAATCTGGTAGTTTCACTTAGTTTCCAAATCTTGAATCTTCAGCAGGTCACCTTCACTGCAAGTGTATCAAAGCAGCTGAACAGAGAAGTAAAAACTAAAAACTGCCTGTACCACTTGAAGATGTGGAAAGTCAGAGAACCATCCAAAGATATGAGGAAAAAAAACGCTTTGTTCTCCAGAGCTCTAGTGACAACTATGAAAATGCCCATGAGTTTTCAAACAGTTTCAACTGTGGAGCCCAAGACATTGAAGGATGGTGGGATGGCTGCTACCCAAATGTGCGTCAGAAAATTGGTCTAAAAGGCAAACACAAGACAACAATCCGGCAGCGTCAAAAATCAAACTGGCCTCATCAGGACATAGTGTAGTGTCTCCACGACGACCATTCAGGTGAATCTGGGCACCTGCGGAAGGCGAGAACTTGAAAATGATGTGGATAGATGACACAAACGAGAGTTTCTGGTCCTCCCTAGACCTCACCAGAAGTGCAGGAAAGCAAAGCTCATGTTAAAGCAGAGAATGCCACCCTTTTTGTGACGAGACTGACGCTCTAAAGTACGTTGTGATATTTCAGCCAAATACTGTAGCATTCGGTCAGACTGCTCGGGCTTGGTTGCAAACAGAGTTTACAAAAGGATAACAACATGAAGGACACCAGGTTCAAAGACCAGATGGGTGAGAGTGGGAGTTATTGATTGGTACAGTAATCTGTGGAAAGCTCAGATACAGGCTGCACACTCTGGGGAGCCGAGGAGGTTCTGCGGAAAAGGAATGTTTTCCCCATGCGGCATTTAAGAATCGAATAAATGACTACAGGAAGCACCTCCCTCAGAATATCAAAGATAAAGGAAGAGTCAACAATAATGATTGCTGGGGTACAAATACAGTAAATTTAAGCATCCTGCATTTGACAGATGCCCTGTTTATACATACAGACCTTTAGTTTTATTACTCATTTGTATAACAAAACACTGAATGTACGTCAAGGATGTTTATACTAAATCAAGTTTTAGTGACGGCTCATCTGGGATATAAATACATTTAGAGGCTCCAGTGCTTGCTGGAGGCGAACACCTCTTAAGATTTCGCTAAGAAATAATCCTTTTTGGAACGGGGCTTGAACAGATGGTAGAGGAATATGCAGACAACAGAGAGGAAGGTGGCTGTCCCGGTCAATCCCACTATAAGCCACGTCAACTTTGAATCTGGAAAATAGTAAAAAATGGAAAAAGGATGAAAAAAACAGGAAAGATGCTGAAATTCACAGATCTAGCAGAGTACATCACTGAAAATTAAAAAAAGAGGGTCATTTAAAATGCGTCGTTTTTCTTTGTTAAATTTTGTTCATGGGGGCATTTGAGTAATATGAATTCAGGAATGCTAAAGCACGGTTACAACTCGATCCACTAGACGAGAGGCAAGTGTTACAGATTTTGACCTACCTTCTAAATTAACCTGAACAATAACTTCATGGTATCCTTTGCTGTTCTGTGCAACACACTTAATTTCTGCTCTGGTATCCTCCTCGCGCACCTCAGAGAAGATGAGAATGATCTCAGAATAGATAGTTCCATTTTTACTGTACACTCTGCAAAAAGAAGGAAGCCAAATTAACATGACTGTTACACAATGTTTAGATCTCTGCTCCATTTCGTTAAGCATGCTCGGCGCTTTCTGAGTTGCAGCCAGTAAAACGACTCCACACATGTTGCTTGGTGTTGCAGTAGTGGTGCTGTGTTTTGCTTGTAGTTAAATTGAAGAAAGATAGATTTTCAGAGTGTGTTGCACGTAAGAAATTGAGGTTTATGGGAACACAGGGGAATGATGAAGAATATAGATAAGATAAGATCACTTTATTAGCCATATACAATTTCTTGCATCAGGAATTTGTCTTTTCTCATACCCCATCTTGCTCTCCATGAGACACACAGACAGGGAGAGAAGCTGGGGGTCAGAGCGCAGGGTCAGCCATTTATACGGCACCCCTGGAGCAGCTGGGGTTAAGGGCCTTGCTCAGGGGCCCGAGGGAGTAGGATTCCACTGCCGGCCCCGGGATTTGAACCAGCGGCCTTCCAGCCACAGGCGCAGATCCTGAGCCACAGAGCCACCGTGTATGCTAATGATGCCCTTCAAGCATATTTAAGTGTATTTGTGATAATTAATATTTAATTCATAAGCTGATATTTGCCCAGCAGAGGCCCGCATACACTCTGCATACACTGTTTTTTAAATAAAAATGAGAGTGAACGGCTTCATCAACGGGACTAACGGGACTGCGATGTTCAATGAAGAAATGTAAGTTTCTCAAGATTACCTCTTATCCTCCTGCGTGACTCGACCACTCATGAAAGAGTCTTCGATCTCCCGGCCATTCATAAGCCACGTGACTTCGGTGGCGTTTTCCAGCTGATGGCCTGTATTCACTCGACAGGGGATTATCAGACTGGAGCCTTCAATTAGCAAAATTAACAGCAACATTAAGAAGTGAATCAACATAGAGACACCAGGGCAGTAATACAATACAGGCCGCCCCCCCCGCATATGGAAGGTTTACAGTATGATCCCCAAAACCTTACAGATACCAAAATCTACCCAATTCGGATTTCCCACTTTTATGGTGTGTTGGCATTTACAAGATACTGTTATGATCACGGTGCTGTAGCGATTCAAAATTAGACCTTTCACGGCACTAGAAAACACGTTTCAGCCGCGATTAACCGGGGATCACTGCGAACATACAGCAGACCTCCGGAGAAGATGGGCTAACAAAGATGTCTGCCTCTGCTTCTGCACGCTGCATGATTACATTTCCAGCTAATGTCAATTTTTTGCATCTCATGAAATTCTATGATTACTGTACCCCAAACACAGTCTTGTATGAAGACTTGGATTTAAGTAAGTCAGGGTAAGTTCAAGGATAAGTACCCTTAAGTGAGGATAGAAACCAGGAACAGTATAAATGGACAAGAGTTATAAAGCATAGTCATGATCGTTTTACAGCCCAGAGCTCTTGCTCAAGAGTAGACTGACTTATTGTAAAGCACTGTCTCTATTCTTGCTCCAGACTGAACCAAGACAGTTTTAGACAAACAGGAAAAAAAAGTGAAACATTAATTTTTAAAGTAGAAGATGTGTGCTTAAAAGTTGGTCACAAGAGCATTTGAAAGCAGAAGTATTTTTATGTGATATTTTGACCTAAGGTTGCGTCAGCATGCGTAGGCTGCAAAGGAACAAGTAAAGATTTATTCCATGCTGAAAAGAGAAGAAACACAATGTTCAGCTGTGCAACCTTCTTCGTAACTGCACTGTACTTAAAATTGACAGATACAATTGCAAATAATATGAGGGTAATCCTAACAATTATAACACACAGTATAATAATAACGTATAACAGTTTGTAATAGTAACGACTTACCAAGTCTGCTCACAAAGATGACATTAACTGGATAGATGATCCTTGGAGCAGGAATTTCATCTGTCACCAACACAAGATAGTGAAGTTAGTGTTCACAGTATACAGTACCAGTCATCAGCCTGATCACTTCATATTCACTATGTAGAAAAGGTGAAGCTGTCATTATTCAAATTGGAGAGCCTCTTTAGAAGAAGGTATTGGATTTGTCACAGGCAGCAATGTTTGTTTTATATATCTAAAGACTAAATAAGGAAGTAATATAATTTCAAGATTGATTTATTAGTAAATATGTAACATGACTGCCTGACATCTCGTATCACATACAGGTTAATAACTTTGCACTAACATGGAACCTTTTTTAAATTATAATTGACATAATAATTATAAAGTTCTCGAAATAATTTTCTGAATTATATTTAGGTGCAGTTAAACTTGTTCAAGACAGCCTGATCCATACCGTGATATTGGAGTTATCCTCCTCAATATTTGTATTACCTAGGCTATTGATATATATTTCCGCACCACAGAAAGCAACATTTACAGATCCACCCTGAATCAATAAAGATCCTGCTAACCCATTTTAAGTTCCTCAAGGCTTGGCAGTGAGTGATGAGGGCTAGATTACCCTCTTGTTCGGGCTAACTTCACACAAACACTGGCTGCCCCATCTGGGGATAATCATAATCAATGACTTTTTCTGTCCAGACTGGCATACCTATCAACTTTATCTTCACAGTCGACTCATGTGATCCCAGACCGTTTCTGGCAATGCATTTGAATTCCGTACTGACATCCTCTTGGCGTACTTGAGAAATGATTAGGTCTAGCCCAGCAAAATTGCCCTCTGGCTCAGTGAGCACACTGTAAAGAAAAATATGACCTTAGGTTAGCGTAACTTTTCCCAATGACTCATGAATAGGCATGGGTATGTAATTGTAACCGTGCAGATTTTGTGGATTGAGGAAAAAGCAGAAACTTCCCCATATATTTCATCGTCACTCTCATGATGGCAGCACACTCAGAAATTTAACTTATCATATTGTTTCAGACAGATTGGAACTCGAGCGTCCCTGCTTGAGTGCCTTACTCAGAAGGTTTGGAGCAATGGGTACTGTTTGGCAGAAGTAGTTCCAGTAGGGAGCTGCGTCAGCATGCGTGGGCTGCAAAGGAACAAGTAAAGGTTTATTCCCTGCTGGAGAGAGGGTGTGAAGAAGCCAAAGAAGTCTCCACAGCTGATACGCTGTGTTTTTTTTTCCTTCTCTTTTCAGCCTGGAATAAACCTTTACTTGTTCCTGTTTGGCTGTATTGGCGTAGCTGTCCTGGGGTCAGCAAGCAAGGGAACATGGAGGACGATACTGACGATAAAAAGGAGTCCTAATACTTTACTCAGGCTAATTAACTCAACTGTAAATCATTAAGACCGCCGTGTTAAAGAGTAAAACACCCAACAGCGACTGGGCCATTGGGAATGTACTATAGCATAAATACAGGCCCAGGCATAGCAGTTAAGAGAGGAGCAGACAGGAGACAGGAAGACAGAACAGGGAGGTGAAGAAGGACCATTATCATAACCATCATCCTCTTCTTCATTGGACATTAGTGCCATGAGAAGGTGGCTCCTTGAAATCTGATTCCTTTATTGAGGAATCCACAATCTAAGAACATCTCACCTCTTTGAGTCCTGCCTTGGGGTCTAAAGGAGAACAGGGAGTTCCCATTCATTTGTGAGCTCCTTTCTAGAGAGGGCTGTTTAGTCCTAAAGGATCCAATTTGTTTATTAGGCCCTGTGTGTTCTCTCTTTGGCCTGTAAAGGTGTTTTATGTATTTAGAACATAGAACAGAATTTATGGTTTTCTTTGTCTATAGAAAATAGGCTCCTGGTGCTCACTGATCTGTGAATATCTGTGTATAGAGTAACTGGTGTATGATGTGCAGTGTTCTGTGATTATATACCTGTGTTATTTGTTGTTAACAAATACTTGTCTATGTGTGGACCTGATTATTAATCTATTCTATCAAGCTGTGTCAGAGAATAATGGACACAACTGCCACATAATACTCAGTATTCCTTGACTTTAGGTGGTAAGATTTATAAAGACTTTACTCAGGATAATTAACTAAACTGTAAATCACCCTCTCATATTGTAACAATAACAATAATTTGGGAGAAAAAACACACTATTACTTGTAATTTAAATGTAATTTCACACATCACTCTAAAACACCCTTTGCACAAGAAGAGGATGATGTAAATTATGTAAAGTGAAGGCAGACATTTCAGGCACCTCTTCTTCAGAATTTTCAGTTCACGTTTGGCACATAAAAGAAAATTTTACTGAAGAAAACCTTGTCTAGCAAGCTGTGTTTCTAGACAGTAAAGGCCATGGATTGATTAAACAGGCAAGCGATGTGTTACTCGCTGACGTGCAATACTTCTTTGCAGTCTCGGCTATGACCCAGGACCAGTTTGGTTGAAAGGCTGTGTGATCCCTGTGTAAGTTAATTGGATTTCCCTCTCCCTAACCACACCATCTCCCACCATCAGGAATGGGTGAAAACCAGATATGGGGGGAACACGCGGGAAAGATTTGTGCGCTCAGGGAACTATATTTTTGCAACGCACGTGGAACCAGAAATGAAACATACTGAGATACTTGTGCCTATCAGGAATATGCATGGTCACAGCGCACTGAAAAGAACTTACTATTCCGGGCCTTCTGTCACTCTCTTATCAGGAAAATCCATGAATACGTATGAGTTATTTGCCAACCACATAATGTAAGGTTGTTGGGTGGTCTGGAATCCCATGAACACTTTACAGGGTACTAGTAGTGTGGATCCTGCAATAGAAAATGCGTTAAAATGCATTAGTGACTGGTTACAAATAAACGTTAACATTCTGTCCAAAGTTATTAAGAGTTTCTAAAGTGCGTATTATTAAAGTTAGTGCAGTTATTAAATTCCATACACTGTTAAAAAGACATACTACATCTACTACAAATTTAAATTTGTTGCAATAATGGTAAATACAATTAGAAGGCTTCTCTCACATTAATTTTAATAATATGTTCAGAGCAAGTGGACAAGATGGTAATATGCATATGTAAAAGTTTAAGAAGCATTAAGATATTTGCAAAAAAAACTTGAGAGGGCTATAACATCAGCAGTCAGTAAGTTTGGAAACAAAGGTCCCAGAAGAGAACGTATCAGGTGGCTTTTCTTTGTTAAAAAAATACATAATGCGAGAACTCCGGCCATTGAACACTGAATCTTGTATCTAGGCTCTTAGAACCACTATTCTATCTAAAAGACAATACATTTTTGTTTTTGTTTGTAGCTGAGCATACATCATAAAGGCTCATATAAATTATAAAATTATAATATAAAATAAATACTTTTTGAAGGAGTGCTATACTATTCACATGTTTAAAATATTCAGTTTTAAACCAAGGAAACCCAAACATCACACCAGACATCAATGTTGTGTTTAAATATGATTGTTTGACCCTCTGCTATCTTTGGTCTGCAAATAATTTTGAATTGTTACAACATCTAACGGCTCCTCTTCCTTTTGGAAGCAGTATGAAATCAACACTTAAGACTAGATTAGAAAGACCACATTCCTAAGAGACCAGAGCCCTGTATGAGAAAATGAGGAGTCAAAAAGCAACTTGACTCCACTCAGAAGGTCATGAGAAAGAGAGGTTACAAGTAAAGCTACAATTCTAGAAACTCCTGTGTAATGCAGACAGGGAGAGATGAAGCTACTCCTGCTTCAGTCATTTCATTTTCATTTTCAAGCTTACTGGCAACATTGTGTCCAATCCAATGTAAACATACTTCTTCAGGAATACATTGGGCCCTCAGTATTGTTTGGCTTTACTTACCTAAAGAGGTCTCAACTGTGTTGTTCAGAGGATTAGTTATGCGTGGTTTCACTGGCTGGGCTTTAAAAAAAAAAGGTTTACCATCAATTTCCCGCTGGCATCATTACAGAAAATCAACAACACAAAAGTCCTTTTAAATGCTCGGTTATTTAGGAAACATTTGTTTTTCCAGACCCATATAGAGTAAGCTAAACTAGTCTCCCACCAAGGCAGCCAAAATGTCCCTTCTCATTGCTTTAAGTGTCCTCTTCGAACCCGTCCAATTCAGTCTCAGGCGATTTCACAGCACAGAAACTGCCCCTGTTAAAGTTACTAATGATCTTCTGATGGCAGCTGATTCTCATTCTTGATCTCCTAGACCTCAGTGCTTCCTTTGACACTGTTGAGTACATTTTACTCTCAGTGTCTGGAGTGCCTGACACTGCTCTTAAACGGTTCAACTCTTGTCTTACTCATCGTCAATACTTGTCTCTCTTGGGGGTTTTAGTTCCCACTTGGGCAGATATTAAAATCACACAGTTTACGATATTAAGGAACTGAAAATCATGGAGTGAACAGAACCCCTTTAGGCTGTACCTGCGAAACTGTGTGCTAACTTAGGCTGTCCAAGACAGACTTCAGTGAGACAACCAAAAAATCTTTAGTTATTTAAGGAAAATTTGAGACATTTGATGTTAATTAAGTACTTCAATATCAACTCACTGAAATTATGCAAGGGACTCGGGAAAGAATTTGTAATTTCATAAAAAATTTTAATTAAGTAAATTAACAAAAGGCTTTTATCCCACTGTCAGGAAGAATTTTTGTATTAACAAGAAAACAGAACCCTATTTATGGTTGCTATAAGGTAAACATTTCAATGCTTTTTATAAATACCTGTAATCTGCAGTTTAATTACCCTTGACACTTTATAGTGTGTGTTGTTAAATGGAAAATTTAGCTCGCATGTGTAATATCCTTCATCGCCAGATTTCACATCTCGAATGAGGAGAGATGTCCCGGTCTTCTTGTAACGCGTTTTGTTTTGCGAGGCTGGAATAGGGGTGGATTCCTGAAACAAATACAGACATTATAAATACATTTTGTACGAATTTTGTATGTTCAAAATACATTATATTGAAGCTGGCTGCACTCTCAAGAGATGAACATAGTCATTGTAAAATCGTTATCGATACGGTCACAGTAACAGTACGTAATCTTTCAGATTGAGCGTGAAAACGAAGTCCCAAGTCAAATGACACGCAAAAGGACTTTCTACCTTGTACCACTTCAGCTCCTCCGTCTTGGCGCTTTTCATGTATTCTGTTAAACGGGGGCAGAACACTCTTCCGTTGCTGCCGGAGTCCGCCGTGTTCGTGAACGAGAGGTCGTTCAGATTATCGTGTTTGCTCTCGTAGACCCTTAGAGAGAAAGGGCTGACGAGGCAGTAGGAGGCATTCCTGCGGAAGGGACATGAGAGACATCAGCCCCAGGACGGTACCATACAGTCAGCCCCCTATCCCTGGTCGATCCAAACCTCCCAAGACCCGATTTCCCATGGGAATGCTTTCGGCTGGGGGGGAATCCAGCACGGACCTACTAAAAACAAGATGGCGGAACTCCCAGATGAAAATAACTGCAGATTTATTATGGTAAGGTTTTTATACACAGTAGATGTTCTCATTTTTTAAAACCTAACGTTTGTTAATGTCCATCGATTCAGTATACAATAGGATATGAAGGGAAGACACACTGGCACCACTGTTAGTGGTGGGAGGTGGGCGGTGTGGAAAATGCATGGGTATCATGCCGGTAGGCGCGTTTTGATGGTGTAATCATCTTCAGTCCTTTTACTCTCGGCGAGTCGTCTGTCTCAGGTACAGGATTAGACAATAGAGATATTCTAGAGATGCAGTAAGTATGAGACCACGGGGCTCAGCATTGCTGCCTCACAGCGCTGGGGCCCTGGGTTCGATTCCAGATGTACAGTACATGCGTGGGGTTTGTGTGCTCTCCCGGTGTCCCTGTGGGTCTGCTCTGGGTGCTCCAGTTTCCTCCCCCAGCCTGAAGACATGCGATAGGTTAATTGTCTACCGGGAACATTGTGTGTGTTTGTGCCCGTGTGTGCCCTACGATGGACTGGCACCCTGTCCAGGGTGTATCCATCGCCTGCTGGGATAGGCCCCAGCCCCCCTGCAAACATGGACTGGATGAAGTGGTTAGAAAACAGATGGATGGGAAGTTGGGGAAGATGGGAGATGCTCAATGGTGGGAAGTATGTTGAGACAATGATTTCCCAGCTGTCTATGTTTCACCTAAGTGTCGGTATTTTCCCTTTGCACGGCGGGTACTTCCAGACTATACTGTCCTGAACACTCTGCCAAGCTGTCTGTTACTGGCCTCACTGGTGTGCGTTAAAGTAAGAACTGGTAGCGTCCTCAGATAAATGTCTCTAATACCACATTCACGGTGTGAGCTTACGAAAGCATGAACACAAGTCATGAGACCCTGAGGAGCCGGAGCGACTCTGCAGGAGTGAAAAGGCTACAGTAAACTCCTCCTCAAAGTTATCCAGACAGCAGACGGATTGTCGGGATACGAAAACACTTGAACGTCATGGTGTTAGAAATACCATACATGCAACTGTTCTTTTTTTTTTAAATATGAACATTGAAATTCATACCAGTCTTTACTTTTGTTTTGTTTCTATCACCACCCGTTGAAAGTACACCTTCATACTAAAACAGCTCTCAAACTCTCTTATCTCCCTCAACTCTGTCTGAACCTGTTCTGTCTTCCCTGTTGGTACTTTTTTGTCGGTCATGTTGTATCAGACTGTGCCATAAAACAAATTCCCCCCAGGGGATAATAAAGCTTGAATTGAATGGACAGTATGAATACATTTCGGGGCCACAGTATGTGCATATATAGGCTTTAGAGGTGGTTCAACTGCACTTAAGTGTACAAGAGTGTACACAATGTCTAAATCATGCACCGTGCAGAAGGCAAGTTCCCGAGAGCTGGAGTCCTGCAGATTTTTTATGTCTTCTTCAAACCAGCAGCAGCTGAAGAACTTTTAAAAGTATTAAATTGTTCCAATTAAGATAATGATGATGATGAGCTTAATCAGGCCATAAAGAGCAGAGAAGGAAAAGACAACCTACTGATTCTGCACTCTTCTGGGAATGGGGTTCTACAAGACTGCTTGAAATAATCGGATTCCATTTCTTCCAAAACCCGACACAGCGCAGCAGTCGTGGAGGGGGCTGGAGACTGACCTGAGAATGCAGCTGTAGTTCCCAGAGTCTCTGACCACAGCAGGTAAAAACCACAGCAGCTCGCCCTGCGTGTGCACCCTGCCTCCTTGCGCGGAGATGACCTGCCCGGCGGAGTTGTTGACCCACTGGAAGGTGAAGCCCGGTTCCGCAGAGCGACCCAGGTACCTGGCCAGAGAGTGGCACTTCAGCACCACTGCCTCCCCCTGCAGGGCGTACAGGGTGTCCTCGGGAGGGAACTGGACACACTCTGGAAAGGAAGCAGTGGAGACAGGAATGTCAAGGAAACAGCAAGCTCTCATTTCCCCGAAAAAAAATCCCCAACACTGCTTTTTTTCTTCTGTTTTCAATCCTAAACAGTTGGCAATCACCAGGTGGGGAGGTTTCAAAACTTGTAACAGAAGCCTCAGCTCTTCCTAATGCTTAATGTGAATCACGTAGTCAGAAGAAGCCAGGTGGCTTTTTTCCTTCAGAATACTTGATGTGACATGTACTTGACTACTGCCATTCAACACTGAATCTTGAATCTAGGCTCCTAGAACCACTCTTTTCTCTATAAGTACAAACAAAATTCATTTTTGTTTGAAGCTGAGCATACATCCTAAACTCTCAGACAATAAAACATAAAATGCCTTTGCCTTTTGAACCCTTTGGGGGAGAACTTGTGCAAAACAGCAACGGGCATTAAAAAAATTGAAATGAACATTCCTGTCTATCTTACTTCAAACCTACGTAAAACACACCTTTAGCTGTGATTAATTTTACTACCTGTGGGATTTGGTTTTTAGACCTTGGTACGTACCTTTGGTGGGCATCTGAGGGAGTCTGAAAGCAGAGGCTCTGCTCACAAGTGACACGATAAGCAAAGCAGGAGAGACCAAGTGGGGCTGCAGAGGAAACGGAAACTGTCAAAGACTTCATTGTGAAAGGAAAAACCGAGATAAAACACACAGTGGTTCTCTCTTGTGGCACTGGTTATTTTGATTAAGAAACCAATGGAAAATCTTAAAGAAAATCTTAGTGCTCCTTAAGATGTGCCGTCTTTCCGGACACAGAACTTCTAAACTGATGAGAAGGACAGGTCAAGCAGAGAGGGCTGCTTGCAGAACAGGCACCACAAGCATAATCTTAACGAAGACGACCATTGTCTCCGAACTAAAAACACTCTGGACAAAGCCTATCTTTAACTCTGTAATAATCTTAATGTGTCAATTGAAAAAGCCATTTTTGAAGTAGGGCATTTACTGGAGCAATCTGAGTGACATCAAAGGTACAACAGTAGTGCCCCATCCAGTAACTGGAACCCAGGACGCTCCAGGCAGAGCGCTAATCACTACTCCACACCGCTGCCCCCGAATTGATACACAGTACAGTACACAATAATCTCCATACACGACTGCCTTCCCCATTCGACAGCTGTAGAAAAGTGCTTCAGCATTTTTGATTCAACAAACAGGGCTGCACATTGATTTTGTTTTTAAAACATCAAGAAACAGCCCCATATTTGGATACGTGTTTGCTGTTCCTGTAGGTGAGATGGTTGCATGCACAGTCTTTGTAGGAGGCAGTGAAAAAATGAGCTAGATGTAGTCAACAATGCTTGACCAGGAACACAGTAATAACAGATTCGTACATTGAACAGGAAATAGAGGAAATGAATGGAAAGTTCCAGATCCGATGACAAAAGCCCTTTGCATCATAAGGTTACTGAAAACACCTCAAGGTGTGTGTGTGAGATGTCCACAATATCTTTGTCATGATATGACCTGCAGCTTAGTAAATTACAAAGGTTCTGTACCTCCTGGATTTACAGACCTTGAGTTTCTGTTACACAGTTAGCAAAAACGGTTCGGGACCAGATGATCTTGATTAAGTCCCTTCAGTCTTTTTAACCAGTAATCTCAGTATTTATTACAAAGCCAAGCACAGAGGTTAAAATGTCTAGGATGTGCAACAGACCAGCAATTCTAACATACGTAAGGCTCATTTTAGAACATTCTTTCACTCCACTTTAGCACTTAAGGAATCTGGTGCTTATATTCAATACTGCGAGTGACGTTTCCAAAGCCTAACTTACTACTGTACATATAATAGACGGCCGCATGTGTGGTTTAAGCATGTAGAATGTGTGATGATTGTACTTCATGTGATTCCTGTAACGTGCTGTCCTTAATAACATTCATATATAGTGCCTTCAAATTTATCCTAAATATGTATGAGAGAACGTCTAGCACTTAAATTTGTCTAGAAAACAGGAAACATAAAATGGAACAATGCAGATATACTTATTTTTCTTTCCTCCATAATTCCTGAAATTATATAAGATTTCAAAACAGATATGCTCTAAAATCTGGAACACCATCTAAAGGGGTTAAATTGGAAAAAAAAAGAGATTAAGTTAGAATCTATGTGTACTATAGATTCTGAGTCATTTAACTGTGTAAATACAAAAGAACAGAATACAGGTAAAAGTGCAACAATTAAGCCTCTAAGACTGGATACTGTTAGTAATTCATTAAATAAAAAAAAATCTCAGACTAACCAAGCAGCTACAAATGTCAGAAAAGTCAGATTTATTAGATTTTATATTTTAAAAATGTCGTTTCTCTGGAAAGTATCATGCAATATATAAAACAGGTCCCTTACCTTATCCCAGAGAAGCATGTTATTAAATCAGGAAAGACACTTTACAGTAATGTTCCTTTTCTTGGATGATCAGAATGACAGCAGGGGAACCTGACTGTGACATTTATAGACTTGTATACTACACAAGGAGTGGAAATTCCTGGGCATTTCTCAATCAGCAGAAACACTGGCATATCTTCGGTTTCAGCTGCAACACATGCTGAAATGGACATAAAGCAATATTCTGTGTGAACCACCTAAGGGAATGATGGCAAATGGGCTCCATTCATAAAAAAACACAAAAGCCTTTCCCACCACATTTAAGACACTAACATGTTTTTTTTTTCTCAGAATGTGGTATGAGCTTCCTTCATGTGCATAATTTTAAAGCACAGCACATTTCTCATTTCATGGGTAAAATTCGAGGGCTGTCATTTATAAGTCAAAACAGAAATCATTACTGATCCATTTTCTCCTGAAGGAAAAAAAATAGTCAAAGTGGACTTCACAGCTTTTTCTTGAGAGACAGAACATGAATCTCAAAAGGGCAGATGTGTATCTGCAGAATGTCCAGCATTTAGGCTTGTGAATAACAAAGGACATAACCCTGAAAATCATGCTATCGTGCTGCGTGTTGTTATCCTGTGCTGCTATTACCCGATTGTGGCAGACGTGTGTAATTCTATTTTTCATATTTCTGTCGTTTAAATTTGTCTGGATTCATTTATTTATATGTGGAAGTGCAGGTTACTCCTTTGGAATTGCTCATTATTATCGGAAGACAACAGCGAAAAAAAATCCTACCCTCCCACACCACAACACCACAAAAGGATTTTGCTTCAAGAGAAGATGTGGACAAGTTAAAGGTGGAGACATTTTTAAAGGGTTTAAAAGCTTGAGAATTGGATTGAAATAAGAAATGTGTGGCTAGAATTGCCATGCTGAGCAGATCTCGCAACCATAAAGAGATTTCATATTTAAAGCCCGTTAACAACACAGAAAACCAAAATGCATCCAGTCATCACAATGAGTTTGTTATTTTAGCGCTAAGAGAGCACAAAAGAGATTAGTCAAAAACACAGCTCCTAGGATTGAAAGCACTTGTGAATCGTAACACCAGTTGTACAGCAGATTTCCATGTGGCTTTTTAATAATTGGCTATAATTCATGGTTTGTTCTTTTTGAAAAGCCTTAGCACCAAAACATTTCGCAAACGCAGCCCATCGCATCTGGAACAGTATGTTTAGGAACATGCTAAGGTATTGTGAAGAAAGGAAGGAAGCTGGTCTAGCCTTCCAGTTCCTCAAACAGCCTGCACCGCTAACCAGAAATGCTATTTTAACGGTTTATTAAGTGCTGAAAGAGCAAAAAAAAACAAAAAACAGAGCCATCCTTTTTGTAGCTAAACACCCCCAATCTTTGGGTGCCGCCATATTCCTTTTCCTCAATATCTGGACAGGATATCCTGCAGCCCTCCGGCGTGACTGGATCCTGGTCTTTCTGTACATTATGAGTAGGAGGCTGTCTGCCTCTCAGATCCAGGGTGCCGAAGGGAGGACAGTCTCAGCTCAGACTGCTGATGCTGCCAACAAAGCGCTGTCCTTATGACTCCGCTGGGGCTGCATGTCTTCTTTGGGCGAGAACGCCAGCAGGGAAGGGGGACAATTTGTTTCTAGAAAATCTAGAAGCAAACAAACAAACAAACAAACAAACAAACAAACAAACAAACAAACAAACAAACAAACAAACAAACAAACAAACAGGGGCCTCAGGTTAAGACTGGATATAGATGAATATCAACAGAATGCTTTCCTTAAGTATTCCAGGGACTGTTCATCTGTGCCGTGTGTAGGCTGAATTGGGATATTACAGACTTCAAACTTCTGAGGCAAAAATGCAGTTTGCCTCCAATTTACAAGGAAAATGTATTTTTTTATTTCAAACACCCATTTTTTAATCCATTTTACTGCTTCCCAAGCTAGATTAATTGCACATTCTTGAAGCATTATTGTGCTACGTGCCTCTCGTGTTTAACAGACATGTTTTTTTCCCTGTAATACTGCTTAAACTTGACACTTTGAGCAAGACAAGGCCCAGAGGTCACAGTGCTTGTCTGTGCTGGAGCTGCAAAACAATCAGACTTATTCCTGCTCCTGACATGTACTGACTCCATTAAGGCGCTCCCCTACAGGAACTCTGTGTCCCTACTCCTAAAAGTTGCAGGAAGTTCACACTTCCTTATCTATAACAATTTCCTGCGCCTTCAATTTGCATCGCTGAAAAAACAATGTCTACAGTGTGCAGACAAACGTTTAATTATTTCACAGTTGGCTACATTTCAGAGGCATGACAACAGAGGACGTGGCAGAGCTTTTAAGAGACAGTCCCATGGAAATGGTGGATGACAGCTTCACGGAATGTCCTGGAGAACATTTAGATCTTTCCTTGGAGTTTATTGCACGTTTTCCTCGACGTCTACTCAGTTCCTACGCAAACGTGACCCGCTATGTAAAAATAACCAACGTGCCTTGATAGAGACCAGCCGAGTCCCAGCAGACAGACAGCAGCTTTCCAGTATTTAGGGCTCTAGATCCTAGAAAGATAAATGAGAACACAAGACCAAAACTGACATTTCTGAGTCACTCAGTGATACCTCCCTACCATGAGTGGCAGGAACCTCCAAAATCCAATGATTCAATAAAGTTGCGTAATGGAGTTGCGTGCTGTGGGAATTCAATTTGAAGCATGTTTCACAGTGTTGCCCAATTAAGCTTCCCGTTGCATGCTTGCAGGTTGTCATGCACAGAACACCAGTAAATGTCGCTTGTCCTGTCCAGACATCCTTTTTACCAATGTCCCCGCGCAGACTAAAGTGTTGTCCAGAGGCTGGTACTCCCTGGTGCCCGGTGTCCTCCAGGTGTGGCCCCAGCTCACTGCAAGCTTCTAAGGATAAGATGGTGATTGCAAATGGACGGATGGACATCACACATCATGAAAACTCAATCAACATGGACTTTCTGTGACGGGGGGGCAGTTTTAATCGAAAAGCATGGACTCAAAAGCCATGTTCCGTTTGCTCTGGGGGAAACCGCACAAGCACGGCTCGGCGTGCTGCGGGTTATTGGGGGAACCAATCCCAAAGTGGTGGCGTGCGACATTCCCAGTGGCTGGAAATCAAGGGTGGAGGACACTGGCGTTCAAGCGGGCTGGCTCCCATGATCCTCCAGGGCAGCATCCACCGTCACACCAGCTCAACCCATGGCGTTCATTTCTGACGCGGAAGTGACGCAGTCTGGCCGGCTCACGGCATACTGCGAGGTTTCAGTCACAAATCAGGATTGAGAAACAAGCTCGTTTCGGATGGCATTTACGAAATCGAGAAAACCAGTGCCAATTCCAGTTTACAAAAACCCTCAGGCCTGATTTGTTTTGCTAAAGACCGCAAGAGTGACCCACGTTTTTGTCACATCCATTCCCTTCATTATACCCACCACAATCTGCAGTGTTGAATTTTTTTAGTCCTGTTTAACTCTGCTGTCGAAAACCTCAACACTGGAAGACAGAGCTGCACTGGCACCTGTCATGAGCTGGCCACCATCGTGACTAGGTCACCTGTAAACCACAAACAAAGACCCCTCTATTTTAGTTTGCTTTTTTCAGATGTTAGAAATATTTCATAATTATTGCATAATGGTAAAATAACATTTCAAAATGAGAACAAATGTGTACAAAAAACATTAGGGTAGAGCCATCCTTGTTTCAATTAACACATTTCAACAACCATCCTTCCTGTTTAATTGCTACATGACACAGTCTGAATGCATGTGCTGATAGTAGTTATGTAGGCACTATGTGGCAGCAGTTTTATCCAAAATGACAGACAGACACAAACTAAACTACAGCATACACCAGCAGGTCCTGCCCCAGGGTCATATTTAGCATAACAGGACTTCACAGAAAATGACAGAGCACACAAGTGAGAGGTCAGCTCAGATATTGATCAAATCCAGGACTTATATCAGGAACCTCTTAGTAGCAAAAGTATTTTCTTGGCCACTGTTCACTTAGACTCCTGGTAAATGTCTTCATTCTTGCACATTATGGTGTCTTTTGTGACGTTAGCCTGCTGGTGGCTCTCAAGCAATGGTGTGTTAAATGAAGATGACAGTACATTTCTAAAAAAACACAGACAGGCTTTCGGTATTTGTAATTAGACAGAAGGTAAACCTTTAAAGCGTCTTAAATCCCCTGGGGAGTGTTTTTTCTCCTCAAACTTCAAACTTTTGTTTATGAAACATGACCATCCATGAAGCTGAATAAAAATGAAACGGGTCGCTCTGTAACGGAAACGCTCCACTTCCCCCCTTCCAAAAAAAAGATTTTGCAGAGAGAAGAGCAGCCACTGTTTTTGACACCGGTGCGTGCTGGGATTTTGATTCAGGCGGGCGCCAAGGCTGGGACATTGCCCATCGCCAGAGTCGGTAAAACTCCCGGTGGCGACGCTCTCCCAGCGGAACGGCGGCCCCAGCGTCACCGCGGGCTAGTGACGACACTTCCTGCAGCACTGCTGGTCCGGGAGAAAACCCGAGGGTGGGGAGCAGACCGAGACGCAACCGGTGGCTCAAACTTGAGTTTCCGTGCGTTATATAACAGTTCCTTCTCAGCTGCGTTTCGCAACGCAGCCGGCCGCTGTCCCCAACACCACTTCCTTTCTGTATCGGGGGTAACGTCTGCAACTTCTGAGCCACGTTTTCTTTTTTTACTTCAAGGGTTGCAGTTACCACCTCCCCCCCCGATCACGCAGGCTTCCAAAAAAAGTTGACCAAGGGGGGAAAAATAAAAACCCATTCATCCTCCCAGTGCCGGTCAGTTCAATGGTATTTTTCTCCTGATCTGGAAATGCCGATTTCTGTGCCTCCGCCCTCCACCACACACCCTCCCAAACAAACCAGTGCCCTAAACCTGTAGCTCAACATGGACAGTTACTTGAGGCTTCAAGACCACTGCTCGGAAAATCTACAAACAGGCTTCCTGAAAGGCTACTTAATCATAATTCACATACGATCAAATCTGAGTTGTAATACATCACATATTATAATGTGAATACAAATTATATATTCACATCATAGAGGTCAGTTCCTTGTTTTGCAATTCCTGCAGCCTTGTCAACCAACAGAAATGCCCTACTGATGATGTCCTGCACTTATACAGTATATTACACTTTAAACTGTCTTGGGCGGAGGCACCTGGCAAAACAGCAAAGCTACTTCATCACCACATCACTTAAAAGTCTCCATTGTGCAGCTTTTGCTCATTTTGTTTTGGCTTCAAATCGTCTTTACATTCTCTTCACAACAACTTCAAGCATCTTCACAGCACACGTCACCACACTCTGGAAACACACGCTTCCCCAGATCTTAATCGTGGGATTTATTGCCTTGTTAGTACTGCGTTCGTGGCAGACAAAAACAAAACACGCTGTATATGACTTCCGAGTTTATTCAAGAAAAAACGGCCTTTAGGAAAATACAAGAATTCCCATAATACACAGAAGACATAAGTTAGATAGCATGGCAGAAACATAGGATGAAAACATTTTACCTGTACCTGGTCTGCTTTGCAGCTAGATATCTAGTAATAAACCCTTAATTTGTCATTTGTATTACTTTTGCATTTAAAAAAAATCAGCAGAGTTTAGGGTTATGGGTGACAAAACTGTGCACTTATAATAATACAAACCAAGCTAAAAAAAACACAGAATGCTTTCAAATAAACCTTAAATATGATGCACATTAGTGTAACAAAACATTGTTTCTGTAAACATTTTCTCAACATAACATGTGCATAATAAAAACACTGCAGTCGTATAATTAGGGTTACATAAAACACAGAAATAAAATTAACTATCATTAAGCTTAACTAAATCTAGAAGTTAAAAATATGATGCTTAAGAGTTCTTCAAAATGTTCTTGACGTAGTGGTTTTGTAATACTGTTACTTTTAAATGCCACCTTGGCACATTTCTTACAGTGGGAGCTGCGAGTCACAGACTGCGGAGAGAAAATGTTTTCTACTTGAAGCTTCAACAGATTTCTGCTAATGGTAAAGTCACTTATGTCTGAAAGGCCTTAACTGTATTGAGCAACAAGAACGAGAGACTCAGTAATTGAGGGACTAATTACCATAAAGACTGCATATGCACCGTTTGTTTTCTTTTAGGATTTCACATAGAAGAACGTCCGATCAAATGCTTCGCCACTACAAGTGCAGCGCCTTGAAAGGGTCAAGAACAGAAAGCAAATCCGAAGGACTGACCGCCCCCTAGAAAATGCGTTTTCCGGCCTTTGAGAACCGCAATCCCCTTTTGGCTACGGAGAGCTCCTCTTGGGGAAAACGGAAGAGGTAACCCCCGCTCTTCGGCTTTGCTGAAGAGTCTGAAGAACGGAAAGGGGGGCAGACTAGCAAACTAGACGCCGAGCCCAACCTCGATCGCTTTATCCCTCAAGCCGAGAGGGGGTCCTGTCCGCGTTTTCTCGGCCCTCACACCCGGACCGCTCGCTTTACGCCGGTTGGGTCTGCAGGGTGGCTCCAGGCTGGCTGAGAGCCGTGTAAACATCACCAGCCTGTGCCGAGCTGTCCTGGAGCTGGGCTTTACTCAAAGGGGCTCAGAGCTGTGTAGCCTAAACGCAAGCTAGCCTTAGGGCAGATCTGACAGCACCTGGCTGTGGGAAGAGCTCATGCCAATGAGTTCTACCACACGATGCCTAAAACAACGACTGACTGGATAATACTATACTTAACCTGTAGGAGTTTTTGTATAAAAAAAGATGCACACTCTGAACGGAAGTCTTTTACTCAAAACCGATCACGCATTAACAACCTGATAATCCCCTTCATAAACACGCCATCGTCTTCACTTGTCTATAAAAGTTATATGACTACCTAGAGGCTGAGCACAGTATGCATACTGACATTGGTAAACAGATTTTTTTTTTACTAGTTGAAACAATCACATTCAAAACTGCAAAAGTTTAATAAGAGGGAGAGCATAAGAACTGTACATGAACACAGACAGGCACTGACTGAAGATATTTCAATTTATTTCTTTTTAATATGGTGTCAGAAAAAACGCAATGGGAGTAAAATAGCCATTGTTTTAAAACATACAACGTCTTTCTTATCAAATATGAATTTTATATTCTTCTGCCCCACATTTTTAAGTAAAAAGAACTAAATTATTTTTGGTTACATTAGTTTTTTTTTGGCTAAAAAAATGCCAAAGAAATCCACCAACCTTAGCACTGATGAATACTAAACTGTGACATGTCCGTCTGGGAAGGGAAATTCTGCAGTGGCAGTCAATATATAATCACATACAGTACATATCCTAATTCAGGGAGCTTGTTGCTCAGGTCTAAACTGTCAGTGTTAATGGGATATTAGATTAATTTTGCTACATCAAGTGGGAAACCAGTTACTTAACAGATGAAATCGTTAAAAGTACAACCTACCATTTAAAAGTTAAACAATTGTACAGATTCAATAAAATGCCTACATATCATGCTGTTTCACACTGAGTCTGCAGAAGTCTAAGCCCTATAGAAACACTGAGATCCTGTTCAATAAATGAACAGCTTAAGGCAGCTGTCAGCACAGTACCCAAAAGGAGCCTACAGTAGGATAATGCAATACCAAGGTGTTTTATTACCTTACCCAAGTATTATACACTTCATCTCTCAAGTAATGAAAAAAATGAAAACGCAGAACTGCTGAAACGTTGCTGGAAATTTCAGGATTTTCTTTTCAGAAAACAAAATGGTTCCAGGTCTTCCTCTCCCTTCTCCTTTATTAATAACGCTCCAGGTTCAGATGTGGAGGTCCTGCATCAATGTTGCTGAAGATTATGCTCTTTACCATTAAGTCATATTTTTCTACATTCTCGAGATAAGATTTAGTGCATTGCATTCAGTAAATAAAAAAGATTAAAAAACACCACTGGTTTCCTACGACATACAGTTGAGAATTCTAACAAAAACACCATCTCCTACAAAGTCTGAAATGTAACTGAAGTAAGCAGTCGTGTCTGTATTAATCATCCTAAAACTATGCACGTGCTTCTGCTGTCTCATGCTCCTCCACTTCTGATCATTATTTGAAAGCAAGTAATTTGTCACTAGTGCTTTCAGACCAAAATCAATTTGCTGGCATGATAACTACAGTCCCTTCTTATTTAAAAACAGTCCCAACAAGTCTACCATCAATTTGGTTTTTACTAAAATAATGAAAATATGAGACGTCTATCGTATTTGAATTCTCGAGATACAAAACATGAAACCACCTCCTGTAGTGCTTGTGTTTCAACATGAGGTAGGTCAAAAAAAAAAACCAAAAGGGATTTTTCCAAGCGCAAACCTTTTCAAAATGGGAAAAGAACAGTTGCGCTTTTATACCAGAAAACAATGAGCGTTACTCTGACATTTATCTTAACCCTGCAACTTAACTGAAACCTCTGGCCTAACACAACAACATAAGTGACTGACATGTCTCAGGTTCTTTGCTTTCAGGTGCAAACCGGCTCGAAGCAAGCACTCCAATCGCCACCTCTTCCCTGCACTGAACTTTAAAACACTACAACCTGCCCCTGCCTCCCATCATCAGCGGTAACTCCATCGAAAAGAAATGCAGTTAAATACGCTATAGTAGTAATACTTTATAGTCTAACCCTCCGGGATTCTGCTGCAGCCTTCCCTCCCTCACTCTCACATGCAGATCCAGCGTTTGCCATACTGTATTATTCAGGTTAGGGCTCTGGGATTTTGTCAAGAGTCATCTGAAGCCAACAGAATCTATACAGAGGTGAAGCGCTACTGTCTAACGGCGTCTCCAAGCCGCAGCGTGGCTGGAAGAGAACCGCCTTAACACGAACAGCACCAGGACCTTTCACAGCCTTTGTGGTTCCCCCCCATCCCCCCACCCCTCCCCGTTTAGCAACTCCTAAATGTATCATCACCAGGTGACAGCGTTAGATATCGTATGGCCTCAGTGCAGCTTGCTCTCCAGTTGTAGATTAGTTCAAGGTTTTTTCCGACGTTCCGGGTGTTGTGAAGCGCGGGTGTCCAGCGTGTTCCCTGCTCTCCCTCCTACCAGCTCAGGAGCGAGCTCCTTCCGAGGGTCATGAAGTAAACTTGGCTCGATCCTCCGGACCGCACCGAAGCGAAGAAGACCTGGAACAGACAGAGCGAGCCTCTCAGTCTCTCCCCTCGTGCTACCGACATGCCCCGGCTGCAAATGTGCTGCTCCCTGTGGCTGAAGCCGGGGCATGTCGGTAGCACCTTCAGAGTAACCTCCAATCGGACTACAAACCGATTGACGTGCCAAGTGCACCGACTTAGAAAGGGACAGAAGACTGTTTTTTTTTGTCAATTCAAAATCTGTTTTCACCGATAAAGCTGAAACAGCTTCCATCTGTTAAACTCTAACTTTGTTCTGGCCACTGGGCACAGGCTGTGACTGCAGGGGCTCTATTCTGCAAACATCCCTTGAAAACAGCACGCCATACAAAGCACCATTTCAGCTGGAGTCTGCAGCTCCAGACCTGTGAATGCTCATACACAACCCTTGAAAGAACACCGTGATCTCCTGTATGGAAAACAGCTCATACAAATGCATATAGTCAGGAGTGCTGTTTTGTGTTGAGAAAAAATATACACAAGCTTTAAGAAGCATGAAAGTGTGAACTGGTTAACAAATAAACAGTAAGGAAGAGCTTAAACTGTAGGTGCAATTCAAGTTCTAGGCCATCAAAAATAACGTGAGGGGAATATTTTACCCTCGGCTGCAATATTTCTGTTGAGAAAAAGATTTTCAGCCTTTTCTCACAATGACTCTCATAAACAAGTTGAATTCGGCATTACACCGTAGATACTACTGCAAGAAGGTGGAGCTGCTTATGTAACGGAGGGTTCTGTAATTCTGGAGTCTAGACAAGTTCCTTAAAACCGCCCTTCGGCTCTCCTGTTATTGTGCATTTTAATTTTGGTAATGGCTAGGCTGAGGTCATGAAACAACGGTGGAGATGCTCAGCACTGCAACTTCCCTCCAAAACCTTTTGCGCTTATGTCTTGCTATACAAGAAGAGGAAGTTTCGACCGTCTCGGGAACGTCACTCGACATCCCAGGTAAAAAGCGGGAACCCCCAAGAGGGGCCAACAAAGACATGTCCCCCTGACCTTGTCGTTTCTTTCGCACAGGAACTTCAACCTCTGGGCCCTCTTGTGCATGAACACGCCGTCCAGGTGGCCCGTCTCCACGGAGCGGATCTCGATGGCCTTCTCCCCCCAGCCCATGATCTGGTTGGAGCGGATGTAGGCTGTGCAGCGAGGAAGAGGGGGGAAGAGGAAGACGACGGCAGGAGTGAGAGAGTGGGGACACTCCCGCTCTCCAAACTTCACCACAAAGTGAAAAGACTCCAACTGTCGGTCGGCGGTAGTAATGGGCGCTAGAGAACGGAGGCTGATTTCAATCCTCAGCCACACGTTCTTTTACGCAAACACTAGGCCTGACCGAAAAACGGAAACCGCCACGGTTAGAACCCACGGTCATCGGAGATATCCTGGGGCGGACACAGCTACCAAGCTCTTTCATCTTTCAGGGACCAAGCGACGGCGTTGCCGGCACCAGGCAGGGCCTTACCGACGGACGTGGGCATCTCTCCCCACTGCAGGACCACGTCCTTGGTGATCCTGCCGTACGTGTTGACGTAGACGCCCTCGTCCTCGTAGCACACCAGCAGCTCGATGCCGTCGGTGTTGGGGAGGATGATGATTGCGTGCGGCTGGATGCTGCTCTGGATCTGAGGGAGGGGGGGGGGGGGGGGGGGGACGAGGGGAAAGGTGGGTTAGCCAAACGCCGGAAGCGAACAGTCTCTTTGCTGTACAAGTGAACCAAGCTCTTTCATCGTTCAAGGACACGGAAAAAGACTCAATGGGCGCTATAGTATCCAGTACACAGCACAAGGGAGGGGGGTGCTTGAGCGTGCCGGTGATTTAAATTTGGAAGAAGAGGTCCACACGAGTTTGTAGAGCTCAGAAAAGCAAAAAAACGCCGCTGTGCCCTCCCTTTCCCAAGGGGAAGCGGTCGGAACCACGTTCATCACGAACGAGGAAACGAACGGTCGGTGGTTTCTAGGCCGTCCGACGGGGCGAGTGGGCGTGGGTCTGCAGCCCGGGGCAGACACGCGCCCCACCCCTAGCAGCCGCTAGCCGAGTTCTTACGTGCGTGGGCAGGTAGATGTCGTAGACCGTCCCTGAGTCCACGTCCACCGCGTGGAACCCCGCACAGGAGCCGTAGATCACCTTTAGCCTCTGCCCTTCCTCCACGGTCAGGTCCACCAGCAGCGGCTTGTGTATCAAGTCCCCAAACGACTGCAAGTCAGGACAGAGGCACGCCGTCAGCGTCCGAGCCCAACCGGCGGCAAGGGCAGCTCTGGCAAATGCCCCCGGTGCCGGCAGAGAGCCGCGGTGACGGCAAAAACCCGCGAGAGGAGCAGGTCTCAATCATCAACTGACGAGCTCGTTCGTCCGTAACGACACCCAGGTTACGCTGACTGAAAGAGGTGCTTTTTTAACTTTAACCAGCTCATATCTCTTGAACATGTGTAAAAAACCGATCCGCCAAATTCTCATTGTCCACATAATATCAATATAATATATTAATCCATAACTTAACACAAACTAAGAAAGCCGATGTTTTCCTTTTTTGTTTTAATAATGGCTAATAGTCGTTCTAACCTATTCTATTAAAACAGTATCTTTGAGGACAGGCCAATAGAAAAGTGAAATTGGAACAGGTAAAGATTATACTGATTGACTTTCTGATGGCAAAAACCTGTCAGGAAAGAACATCAAAAGATTCTCACCTTAAAGGCCATGAACTTGTGATACGGCTTTGGTGCCCATGCATAGACTTCCACTGAATTCTTCAATGCAATGACTAAGAACTTGATTCGCTCGTATTTTACTAGATAGAAAACGGGAAAGAAAAAGAGTCAAAAACTGTTGCCAATGTCTCAAAATCCTCGCAATAGCAACAAAATGTATCAATTCGTGACTTAAGAGAAATGTAGACAGCAGATGTTTTCCTTTCATGTTCTATTTCAAAATGCTCAATGTCAGATGAGCTATTTCTACTTTAAACATCTGGGCAGATGTCAAACGACTAAGGGCTCAGCTTTACAGCCAAACTGCAATAATGAACCCAAGATCAGTTTAAATCTTTTCATAAAAACTCAAGAGGTTCTGGCTATTATAAGACGAACATGAAACCTCTTCCTTGGACACCAGCACGTAAAGGACTCATTTTGCACATGATATTTAGAATACATTTCTTTTTCTTAAACTTTTAATACACACGTGATCTGGATTTTCCCCTACAAACGAGTCAATGCATTGTTGAGACGCATCAGTTTTTGGTTTTTGTAGTTCTGTAGTGTTGCAACAATACAGTTCTTGTAATGTCCGTATCCACTCTTGGGTTTTCCTCTTAGGAGCACATCCTTTCTGGGGGGGCTGGGGGTTTATAAACCCTTCAAGGTGTGTTCTGCTGTTGGAAAGAGTCAAGGGGCCAGTCAAGTGACGAACCCCACCTAGAGCCACCAACCTTTTTGACAGCAAAATTACAACCCGTAGTCCTGTAGAGCATGATCTATGCTTTTATGTTCTCAGAAAGGCTGGCATGAAATTGATTAATTCTTTAACATTTATACTGTTTTTAGTTTTAGTAAATTTGTAAACTACTTCCAAAATATCACGGGCAGGAATATAAACTATAGACTTGTTCCATAAGAAACTATGAGGTTCTTATGATTTTAGTTTTATTACAAAATGTCCATTTTCCATCTCATCATAAGGCACAACTAGAGCTCCTTCTTTCCTGTTGCCATGGGAAAAACGCGGCTGAACTCCTTCGCTTGGTCCCTGCGCAAGAGGTCAAGTACTGGATGAAAAAGCCAGGAGCACAAAGATCACAAACGACAGGAGGCTGGCAGTCAGGAGTTAATCGTGAGAGCAGCTTCACCTCCTAGAACCTGTACTTTGGTTTTCTTTTGTAACCCCCAAAGTACATTTCTGATTCAGGCTCGTACTTGCTCTAGTGGCGGAGGAGAGGAAAACAGTCACCCTCTAGAGCGAGCCCTGCAGGAATGTACAGATAGTAAACTAATTTTGTCGTGCTGATCGCGTAAGACGATACAAGCATTTAGTTGTGTCATTTACAATTTTAGGGGCAGCTAGAAGGAACTGAAATGCCAAACATAGATCATAGTTATTAACCACCCATTAGAGTTACTAACAAATGGTACAGTCATTTCAGCACAGCTGCTAGACACCTTACTTATTTGAAAGCGAGACATCTTCTCTGAATACTCTTGACACCTATTTTTGACAGGCAAAAAGAGTCATATCTGCTACATCACAAGGCATGCCATGACTGATCAAATGAAATATACTACTGGCTTTCTTAGGATGGGAACAGTCTTGTTCCTCAATCATGTCTGGAAAAATATAATTAGCAATGATTTTTTGTGTTGTGTGGGGGAACCGGAGATTCAAGCACAATCTTTTTTGGGTCAGAAAGTACAGAAACTCTCCACTGTGGTCTTGAGCCTGACTTCCTGCTACTGTTGGTGTATCCAGTGCTCGCGGTAATGTGAAGCTCTACTTCCCTGCAGGAAAGTACAAAACAGAGAAACCTCTGGGGCTAGAGCTGCAGGACGAAGTACACTGCTTACACTGTCATTTTTTGCACACCAGGACGTGGAATCTTCACATCTGATTATTCTCATCCATTTTAGGGGAATATGTTGCACAATTACAGGATGTGCAGGATAAGACCGGTCTTTTTATTCATCATAGCCAGACAGCTGCTCTAATCTGTGCAGCACAGATAACACTACTAGAGCAATTCATTGCCCGCTGAACGTTAAACACGGCAAGCTGTGCTCAACGTCATCAGCCTCACCACAGTACTGAACTCGTCAGAAATGCAGAAATGTTTAAGACTAGAGTCTTAAAAAAACGTATTAACCAAAGTAGCCTAGCTTTGCCACAGCCCTTCATTACAAGTTTAAATAATTTCATGTGTAGCTAAATTCAAACAGAACTGCAGTTCTTTTCTGAAAAATTGCATAAATAAGATGTAGTTCCTCTTTGTTAAGAAATTTCCAGCTGTCTTTGAAGCTCAATTAGAACATGTGCCTGACCTTTAAGACTGCTATATGCAAATCCTATACCTTCCAGTGCTACAATTTTTTCAGCACAATGCCTTCTCATTTGCACGTAAAAACTCTCTCGAAGTCCTACACTTTTCTTCCAGCTCAGAATCCACACATTTAACCTAACCAGGGTCTGAATGCTGTGACAGGTTAAAACGTGGTTTCTAAACTCCTTAGCCATTAAAAACAATTGTGCATTGACAAATTGTAACGCACTCTTTATGCATATTCTGCTAAAAAGGTCCATTTGCAACCAAACTTGACGATCCTGTTATAAAGCACCAGCTTTTGGGCTACAACAGTATGGTGTACCAAGAAATCTAACACATCGAGATATTTACAGAGTCTGAATAAAACTGGGCACAGGGCAATAATGTTCGAGATAAGAAAATTCAGCTCGTCCGGTTGGTCATTATACTGCTACTGCCATTCAGAACAAAGGGGATGGATTTCAAAATACACCAGGACACTCCAACCTAAAACCTGGTATCCAACAGGCACCTGCAGGCGGGTTCCAACAGAGAACGTTCTGATTTGTGGTGAAAAAGCTTGATCCACGCCTGCGTCTTCTTTGCTGTTTCAGCTCAATTACACTTCATGAAGGTATGAACACGTGCGAAAACAGCCGAATCCAGCCATACCAGGCGAAATGCACACAAGAATACACGTGCGCACTGCGCAAAGTAGGAGACTAGGGATCTGCTCTTTACGTTGGGCTGCTTTCTCTCTCTTCTTCCCGGAATGTATCATCTTACTGTGGAGACAGCCCTGTTCTAATAATACACTTCATTTCACTGATGCTTTTTTCGGAATAGCCGTAATTTGGCAAAATTGGATTATTAAAAATGAAATTGAAAGATGCAACAACATCTGTTTTTTTATAAAGTGCAACAGAACTGGTAGCGACAATAATACTTTCAATTTTCTTTTGCCACATGCCTATTTTGTTTTGAGGTACTAAGTCCTAATTTCACTACTTTTTTAATAAGAAAACAACAATAGTTCCGTACAGGATTAATTCCGAAACTGGGGACAGGCAGTTTTCTCAGAATCCACAAAAATGACAATAGAACTATATAGAGAAACTGGATCCCTCCTTAATTCAAGTCTTTGATAAAATCTGTTTCTTGTTTCATCTAACCACCGACACTACCTGCTTTGCAGCACACTGCTTTCCTTACAGTATTCTTCCTCTGCATTAGCAACAAGAACATTATGTTAATCACATATAAATGTATTTGTCCGAGTGTCTTCATGAAGTTCGTCCATTTTCAAAGACCGTTTCTGAAAACAACACTGGAGCGACATGATCGCAAACGTATTACCAACACAGCCACTAATTGGTGTAATAAAAATTTAATTTTGACATAACTGATAAAATACAGTATATTCAGAGTCTGTTAGTGGCCGTTAAGGATTTTTTTGGGGGGGGAATATATACGTATTTGTACATTCAAGTTTTTGACCGTTTGCTGCTCAAAAATCACCAAGTTGAAAAAGTGTAGCAAATGGCTTGCTTGTGTGGATTCTCAGACGAAGCCATGTGTATGCATAAATGGGCTATTTGGTGTATGTTTATCATATAATAGATTCATTCACTGCTTGGCTGTTTATCGCTTCACGGTTGTTATGGGAAGGCCTGTTTCCCATGTGGTATGTTCTCAGATAATTACTGTAAAGCAATATCAGGCTGTGATGAGTCAGGCATCTGAAAAAAGGTCCTGAATCACCCAGTTTTCTAAACAATGGAATTTAGAAAGCACACTCTACCCTGGTGTTTCTGACCGATTTTATGTTGGAACCGCATCTCAAACTTCGGGTGCATGTTCTATACAAAAATGGCGATGATATACAACAGATTTAGTTTTGGGTAGATGCCTGCACGGTAGTGATGTGCGGGTTGACTCACACCCACAGGCAGGTAAAAAAAGGGGAATTTTAGATCGGGTCAGGCGGGTGGGGGTAAAGAAAAAAAAGCCGACCCGCGTTTGACTACTGCATAGAATGCTTCCTGTCACATTCTCCACAAAGCAAACCAGTTTATGGTTTTGCAATCCCATTCCCTTTTACTTCACACTGAGGTCAAGGGGACGTACCAACTTTATAGTGCACACAGCCTTCCAAATCCCCCACTGTTGTCCAGCCCTGCTTCTTCTCCACTTCTGGGTCATTGTGCAGGATCTTGTTCCTTAACCACGACAGGTAGTAAACACGCAGCTTGTTCTTCTTGCCTTGAGGAGAACATGGGCACCAGAAAACAAAGACCAAGAGTCAAAACCACAGACAATGACCGAAGTACAGGTTTACTCCCTTTAGTTAAGCTTCTCAATGTTATTTTTGAGTTTATTACTGCCATAGATACTTTCACCATTTATTCTGCTCCCATTTCATTTTGGATGCTTTTGCAAAACAGCACGTTTCATATTTGTGCAGATCATGTCGGTTCTACATGCGTGACGGAAGAATGGTCATGCACATCCTGCTGGCTTCCCGAGAAGAACGTTATCAGGTAGATCCCGCAGTAGCAACCTTTGTTCTGCTCCTGGACTCGCACATTCTGTACATTTCCGTGTCAGGAGGCTGCATACGGACTTCTGCTCTGGGCGCTCTTGAATGACATTTTAATTATGGAAAACTGCAGTCTTGCAAAGGAAACTCATTTGCTCAGGAAGGTCAAGGGTCTGACTTGAATTGAATTTCTTAAACTGAAAAATTTTTAGGGAACCCTGAGTGTATGTGCAATCAAAGATTGAACTTTTTACTCCGGGCTGTCCTTCTGAATCTAAAGCATAACGTCACAGAAAACTTCATATTTTAAGTGATGGTAACTTTGATACGACACAGATCTTTTCTTATTAAATTCCATTGAGTTTGTTTCCAATTGCATCACTCTTAAACGTAGGAAAAACAAATGCAGCCAAATCAGAACATTAGTCTGAAAGACTGTTATATTTGATGTCACATATTCTGCAAAACGCACACATTCCTTGCTCAACTTCCTATTTGTCCAGCAGTAGTCATAACTGATGGCAACACTTCCTGACAACGCTTGTGTGTGTGTGTATGTTTTCAAGGGGAAATTATGGCCACAAAGGGGAAAAAAACACCACCACACATGTAGGCACAATTCAGCTTTCCCCTTTTAACGAACTAACAAGTCTAATGCTTGCATTTCAAAAACATCCAACGCAACAACGTTACTGTTGACAAAGTAACTGTGAATCAGAATCAAATCAATGTTTGCATTTAAGACTGAAAACTGGCTTGAAATGTACATTGTAGGTAAAAACCCATTCTGTTTCACTTCAATGGCAGTGATATTTATAGTACTGGTATTACAGTACAGAAGTAATCAAAGAAACCTTTTTTTTAAAAGCTTGAAGCTACTTAAATTAAAACACTAGCAAACAGGAAAAAAGAACTAACAGTGTTCCTCTCAGACGTTAATTTGTGGCTAAGGTCTAATCTGCTGAAATGACAGTATAGCAACAAATCTTTTGGGTTATACTGTATATCAGGTGGCTCAAACCATGTATATTTCAATGCCCTTTAAATACCTGCAGGCTGCTGGTGAACCTGATTTGGTTAAACTCTGTACATACTGAGGAAGACAGACACCACTTGTTTTGAGTGTTTACAGAGAAATTGTGTGACATTTTGGAACAACTGGAAAGCAGGGGTCAAGCTTTATCAAAAATGCTACTGAAATCTGTATGTTTAAAGTTAATCCTGAATACATATTGGCCCTGAAATACTGCCTATGCTCAGGAAGCGTCGTTAAAACTGACATTCATGATAACAGAGAAAGTCTGAAGCAGATAGTGAGTTATAAATGTATTTAATTTTTCTAACAGTCTAAACTTATTTCAAAGGTCATGTTACATCATAGGGCAATACGGGCGTTTAGAGAGTTCAAACCTCTTTCAAGTCCCATTTTGGGGGTGTTAGCCCCAATATCCTGGCCAGATTTCCCTCTGGACTTTACTCCTAATAATCCCCATCTCTGAACTGGCCTCATCACTCTGCTCTCCTCCCCACTGAGAGCTGGTGTGTGGGGAGAGGACTGGAGCTTCATCCAGGTGGGGCTGCACACTGGTGGTGGTGGAGGGGATCCCCATTACCTGTAAAGCGCTTGAGTGGGGTGTCCAGAAAGGCTCTATATAAGTGTAAGCAATCATTATTATTTGCAGCTCTGGGCACATGGGAGAAAGGCATCTTACCTGAGATTGTCACCAGGACATTAAGGCCTTCAAGCACGTCCATCTGTTGGAAGCGCCTGCGGCCGATCAGGGGGTACACCTTCCCCTGACCGCTCCTGTCCAGCAGCATCAGGCCACTCTCAGTGCCCACTAACAAATTGACCCCTGCGGACAGCAAATGCATGGTTACCCCTTAGCGGTTCGACAGCTCCTCCCGCTCTGTGCAACTCCTCTCTCACTCGTTTCAGAACAACGTTTTAAAGAAAGCTTTCATTAAAACCTCACACACGAAACAATACGCTTCCCCCGTCCAACGTTCGCCCTTATTCACAACGGTTAAGGAAATGTAAACCAGTAAGGACCCTTCTGCCCAAAACTCGTACTGAATGTTGTTCCAGCTGTTTTTTTTTTATTGATCCAGTGTTTTACATCCCTCACGTTACATTCAGTGTAACGCAACACCGCACTAAGAAAACTGTTTCCCTTTAGTGACTTGTAGCGTGTGCCAGCAGGAGGCTGAGAGGGAGCAGGGTCAACAGAACAACAGAGCAGAAAAATGATCAGTAAAAAAAGCTCTGTTGGTTCCCGATAACTTCAGGTGCGAGATGTGACTATTCCATATCAATGCACAAAATCACTCTCCTGCAGGCTTTATTTTCTGAATGTGTGCTCCGTGTACTTGCTGCCCCCTAGTGGAAGCATTGGGAAACCTCATGGGTGTCGCGAGAGATCACAGTTCACTGGAACCTCTCCCTTGACAATAACTTGGGAAACGTTTTCATGAGATCAAAAGATGCACCTCTGCCAACCCGCACTCATCTGCAGAGAGAGCACCGCACCCAAGCCAACGTCACAACCCCCAGCGGAAAAAAGTGAACTTTTTCTCCATCCCCTGGAAAACACTTTCTACCCGTTTCTTAGCCCCCCAAAACGACTTGAGGATACAGCCCGTCAGCTGTGACAGCTGGTGTATCTCATGTACACTGCTGCTGCTCCTATTGTGCACTACATCGTTGGCGCACACACTATTGCCAGTTTTATGTTCTTGTCTCCAGCAATGCGTGATGTCAAATGAAGCCCTTCAGTGTACACGGGTACACGTGACGAGCCTCGAGCCTGAACTTGAAACCCAAAGAGAACTACTGTAGTTTGTTTCTTAGCTATTTTTTACTTCATTTACACAGAATTACTTGCTCATCATACACGCGTGTCTCTTGGTTAAGGGGTTCACGTTGTGTTAAATGTATTTTGTATTGTCTTGTGTCTTTTACCGGCCTGCAAGGCACGTGTCCGACCTGGGACAACAGAGTGAGCAAAGCTTGGACCACGTACCCCACAACGCGGCGCACAGGATCTCCGAGTTGAACCTCTTCTTATACTTCCGGATCTCTGGGGTGTCGCTTTGGGGCCGCGTGTTGGTGGGGTTCACGTTCACCACCGAGCCCTTCCGGGTGGGGTCCTGCCTCAGGGCCTCCGATCTCAGGGCTTCGCTGCTGTAGCCTGCTGAAAGGGGAGCTGGCGTTTCCCTGGGGCTGTGGTCGTCTCTCGCAAGAGTAGAGGCGCCATCACCCCCAGAACACACACGCTGCTGTAAAAGCCCCCCCCCCGGTTTTGAAACTTCACGGTATCCAGTGGTGCACGGCTGACATTAAAACATTTTCTGTGTGGTAATTAAGGCTGGTTGAAGGAGATAAAGGAGAGGCTGGCATTAACTGTTCCTACATTCATTTGGATCTGGGAACCGACTGCAGCTTTCACTTTCCGCACTTGCACTGACCAGCACAGGCATACAGGAACAGCGGCTGCATTTTTAATACCTCTCGGTGTAACAAGCACACACATCCAGCTGCGTGGCTCTTTCAGAATGGAAAAAAAGGGTCCGATTTCAAACCGGACTCTTGTGCCTTTCAGAAAGTGCTGATCTTTCGGGGACCCCTGTAAAGGAGTTACAGTGTAAAGTCACCGCGCTTCACCGAAGCGATGGACTAATTATTCCCCTTTCCGACCTGGAAGAGACCCTTCCTGGCGTGCAAGGTGGCGATTCAGGGCAGGGCCGGTCCTGCACCGCAGGGCCCAGGTGAGGCGGGGTGCTGGCCTGGGGACGTGCTTACCCACAGCCGGAACGGTGGTCCCGCTGGACGGGGAGATCTGCAGCAGCCGCGGGTCAATGAAAGGCGTGAAGGAAGAGGAGGATTTGTGTTTCTGCAGTGTATTACTGGCAGACTGCGTCTGGAACACAGAGGTCAGCGGATGAAGGCCTGGGAAAGCACCAGCCTCAGGCAGCGGCGATGTGAATGGAGCACACAGAAGGCTGAACCCCCAGCGTTAAGAGGCTGAGCCCCAGCGTTAAGAGGCTAGTGCATTTGCAGTGCCTGAAACATGGTCTACACAGGACAGCTTAAGGGTAAAAAAAAAGCAAGGACTTTTTTTAAAGGTGTGATTATGGACAGAGCTCAGCCCCCTATAATCTGGTTAGACTGGACATCTGCTAAAATGACAAAAAACCTACACTTTCGCAGATTTGGTTTGAAACACAGCTCGGGTTATTAAAAATTATTTCTTCTCATCTCTCGCATGTAAGCCTGACCATCAAAATAAATATTTAAACCTAACATTTAAATTCTACTCACTATAAGAACTGGATGATCATGTTTTTTTTTCCCGATATCCCAGATCTTGATCATGCTATTGGACTTTTTCTTTTTAATTTGGACATATTTAACACTGGCTGCACGTCTTCAGACTAAAAATCCACACAGGCCGATAAAGGACTGGAGCTGAACTACTTTTCCTGGTTGTAATATTTGCATAGTTCCCACTGATTGCTAAAAAACAATTATAGGAATGACCTCTATGGAAAACATTCCTTCAGAACCTCAAAGGGCAGATATAGACTATATATACGATCTTAAAACGATCACGTCTGTACCACAAAATAGTCAGTAAACAGGTGTAAATTCATCAAAATCTAATGTGGTCAGTGGGAACTGACAGATGTCCCTATGCAGCCTGCTATAGAACAGTAAGACGTGATAAGGTATATTTTGACCAAAATAGCAATCAATATCAAAGGTAATAGCAATAGTATCAATCAGCAATTTATCCACCCATTTAGCATTTCAAGAGGAATTTGTTTCCTCTGATGCGGAAATAAATCTAAACAGTGCATGGAGGTCACTCTCATATCTGTGATACCAGCTTGGCACCAGCCACAGCAAAACCCAGACGTCTGCAGCATTGCCAGTGGAGTGGACAGGTGTGCTGGACACAAGGGTAAGGCCAGCCAGCACTGCAGAACAGACTCAGAAAAACCAGACTCGCACAGACTGCTCCCGTGCAGGGCTGACTGTTGAATCAGGCAGATGATGAGAGTGGTGCACCATCCACACTGCTCAGACCACGGGACAGCCAGGCTTAGCTTTTCTTCTCTAACGAGCTACAGCCCTCATTACTGGGAGCTTGAAGCCTGTCGATTGGTCCAGTGAAGCTGTTCCCCCACCCCACCTTCCCGCAACCCCTCAAAACAAAGCAGACTTGTGAAGAAAAAGGGCAGGGGTTTTGGAGAAGCACGCAATGAGGTAGTTAAACAACAAACCACAAGGACGACCACAAGAACCACAGACATAAAAGACAGAACAGGGTGGGGAAAACAAAACAGACGGAACGGTCATGGGAAACTAAAATAGAAGGGACGATTGGGGGGAAAAAACTTGCCAGTTTAGCATGAGCAAAACATTATGGTTACATTCTATCAAATGGGATGACGCCTGCCTGCAGAGTTCTATACTAACTTTTTGGAACTAAAATGCCTAAAAGCCCATTTCACACAGGTGAGTCACAACCGCGTGGCCTGGCACAGCGCCGGTGCGAGGCGGCTTGCAGACAGCCCAGAGGTGCCACAGCCGTCCCAGCGGAGGGCTGCCCTGCCTCAGAAGCCGTGTGGTTTAAGGAAGACGTCAACACGTCAACCCGTGGCTCTGCAGGAATGGGTGCCGCTTTCAAGTCAGTATTCTTTCACAGTCAGTGCGGTGCGAGGCTGGAGGGCGCAAGAAGTGGGAGTCGTAACGTTGAGGGCTGGACAGGAAGCGAGACGCGGCCACAGGGCCAATGCTTTTTGTGAGGACGGATGACAAGCTGCACGAGCGTCTCTGCGGCTGTGCAAAAGACGCAGGTTTGGGGCCGATGGCAATAGCTCCGAAACGCGCGGCATCATCGCGAGCTGCGGAAAATGTTCCGTGTCCACCTTTTTGTCAAAGGTCCCAGAATAACAAGACTACAAAGAGATCAGCTGATCATCAATTTGCAATCTAGCCACAACTAGACTAGGCTTTCAGTACCTTGATCGCGATGCCACTCTGCAGCAGAGCTCAGAGCTCAGGACATGCAAGCCTCCGTCCCTTCAGTTCCAAGTACAGGTGTTCGCAAGAGTGGGGTGTCTCCTGCTAGGAGTTTTGTTGAAATGGAGAGCCCTGACACCCCTTTAACAGCACTGACTTCTGCCAGTTCGAAACTGCAATCCCTAGGCCCATCTTGGAGACGATTAGAAGAACGATTTAGAAACCCAGCACATATGTATACGTGCACATATGTTCCTTAACGAAAGAAAAAAGCATAAATGTCACGCGGATCCATGTCGTGCTGTAGACGGAAAATGGAATCTTTGGTATTTAACTATTCAGCAGTTTTAGGAATCTGTTAAGACGTTACAAGCTTCGTAAAGGCGAAAACAAGTCTCTCTTAGTTCACAACTTAACAATGAGGAGTAAAGAGTCGGTGCCTTGCTCAGTCAGACGCACAAGTGACAGTCCACATCCAAAAGCTGTCTTTAGAATCTCATCGATCGCACTGATCTCATCAGGAGCTTCCGCCTGGACGAAGGGCACCGGCCTGCAGCTGTCTTTGCCACGGAGCAGAAACAAGCTTCAAAGGCCCCTGCCGCCTCGCAGGCTGCGAGAGGCGAGGGGCAGCTGGAAGCGAGCTCGCGGTGAAACCTGGTGAAAACTGGCAAGTCGGGGGGGGTGGAGGGGCACTACTGCGCTCTAGCGTCGCCCCGCTCACTCGGCAGGGGGGCGGCCGAGTCACACCGGGGGGGCGGGGAGGCGCGGCGGGGCTTTCGACAGAGGAGCGAGGAGCCGAGAGAGGAGCAGCCAGAGAGAGCGGCCGGCAGCGGGGGGGACGCGGGACGCGGGACGCGGGACGTACCTCGTGAGCAGCGAGCTTGTCCAGGGGAGTCTGGGGGGACATGGAGGGTGTCGGCTGGCTGGAGGATGGGGAGGAGGTGGAAGAGGAGGAATGGCTTTGCTGTATGAGATCTGGCAAGAGGTGAATGCGACCGGCAAAGCCATTGCTCTCCTGATGACTGGGGTGCTTTTTGTCACCTGCGCTCTGCAAGCAGAAACAGGCACACTTGGTCTGGCTCATGGGCTGCGGAAACTAGTCTACTTTGCTGATGCAAAAATAAATAAAAAAGAGAAAGAGGTCAAACGAATCCACATTTGAAAACCCATCCGGGGATTCTGGATTAACACTTGAAATGGAAATCTAAGAAGTAAATTGATTCTTAAAATGCAGAGAGCTTTGCAAAAAATATACTGGTGCTTTTAGAAAATATATTTCAAGGATGTAATTGCTGTGCTACAGTACGAGCAGAACTTTAGAAAACAGTGCGTCAACAGAGTACTGTTTAGGTTCCTTTAGAAGACAATGTACCAAAACAATATATGCTGTCTGGGTCATTAGATTAGCTGAAAGTAACGGATAAGCTTTGAATAACAAATCTAGTGGTGCTTCTTCTTTCTTTTTATGATGTAATCTGTTTTGTCTTAGTGAAAGGGGAAGTTTTAGAAGGGACAAGGCGCTGAGCTTTTTTACAGCGCAACATCTTATAAAAACCCTGTACTGCTTGTAACAAATTGAGTCTCCGGTTGCACTTTGCGAAGTGGCAACAGGGCTCCCAATATTGCAATATTGAAATAAAGACCTTACTCAGGTGAGAACTCTCTCTTGTGGCTTCCTTGATAGGTACATTTCCACGACACACTAGAACTACTGGAGGCACAGCTGCAACTACAAGGACCAAAGCGATCACTCTTACCTTGACAATACATGAAAAACATTCCCAAGTAAGGGAGAACAATCTGATACTAGACTGCTACTGTATGTACTTAGGACTGTCCGATACAGCAACCACACAAAAGGAAAATGTAAACTGACATTAGAAAAGAAACAAGTTTATATAAAGAGGATTTATACTGTATATGCAACTCCAGCCGCATTGGTATCTGGATTGGTGTAAATAAACAACTGCACAGAAATGGGCTTATTAATGTGAAATACGACATATAAAAGAGTGCAGCTCCAGAATCGATACTTGAACAGAAGGGAGTTCATATACAAGCAAACCCGTAAAATACAATTAAAGAAGAACCCTGGTATTCAAAAGGGCTCTGCACCTTGCAGTCGTCACGAATGGCGAGACAGCGAATGCAGGACCTAATAGTTTAAGGGACAATAGGGTATGGTTCTGTGGCTCACAAAACAAGCAGTATTTCTGCAGCAATATTTGCTATAATTTGACTATTTCAGAAATAGTGTTAGTATATAATGTTAGTGCTCAATGAAAATGAAGACTATAAACTTAAAGCATCATTTTCCCCCTATAATTCAGTTATTGCACGTGCAAACAAATTAGTTACTGTATATTATAGCTTACCGTGTATTAGACTTTTAATATTGCACATTTTCTTTACTTTGTACAGCGTTTCTAGCACTATTATAAATGCAGTGCCACTGTACTGTAAAGGTTTATTACAGCACAGTAATGTGAGTAAGACTCTCCTACACCAGCAGCTTGTCTAGTTCTCTTTCTTATTGTTAATAAGGCACACGCCACGATACTTGGTAGCTAAGACTGTAATAATGTAGGGACCAAGATGGGTTTCATTACGTTTTTTATATCACTGAATAACACTCATGATACAGGCATTACTTTCCTAACAAGTCCACACACAGCGCACATCTAATGCTTTCCTGACAGAAACTGAATAACTAAAGCGTCACACCCATGATGCACTGCTACGTAAACGTGAAACAAGCCCTGCCTCTTCTACAGAGACAGATGCAGGCTGGGAGAAGCAGAAATGCAGAAAAAGTGGTCATTACTCATTTTGTGCAAGCAGGTGAAAAAGTGAATGTAGAACTCACAAATATCAAGGTTTTACTGTACCATACTGTTATAATTAATAATAATAATTGCTTACACTCATATAGTGCTTTTCTGGACACTCCACTCAAAGCGCTTTACAGGTAGTGGGGATCCCCTCCACCACCACCAATGTGCAGCCCCACCTGGATTTATGCATGCATAAGGTTTACTAATAACCCTTTGCTTTCTGGAACAGCCTATGTTTTATTCCTGTCCATTATTCTTTTACAAAACTATATAAAACTAGATCAATACCAACACACCATAAACGTGTCAGCAGAAACAAATACAAAAACAGACATGACATATGGCGTAAGGTGCAACTATTGTAATTAAAGGATTCTGTAAATAACCTTTCAAACAGAAAGGGGATTATAGAGGCACGAGAGGTAATCCTACAATTAAAACTAAACAGGTGCTACAAAAGGAAAAGCACAATGACAGTATTTTTCCAAATGTATTAAGAGTGCACAAGCTTGAACGCAACTATGCATATTTACACAGCTATAACAGTGGATCAGATTATTTGACGGGTGTTAGAATACTTTGGAACACTAACAAATGCAGATAAAACTGAATTAAAAAATGATAGAAACGAGCACTCCAGTAGCTCTAATGTTAAGCACAAAGTGAAAATGTTTTTAAAAAGTTAAGCACAAAGTTCCAATTAAAAAAATAATTGAGGGAACGTGGCCTGGTCCTGAGGACACAGCTATCGGAGCCCCTGACAAACCCAGTCAGAATTTCACACCGATGATAGAGGACTTTCCAATGCCCAAATTATGATAAGCATACTTTTAAGAGTTGATTTTATTTTGGAGGAATAGAGTAGGTTTTTAGCACCCCATATAAGGCAAATTCTTGAATTTCTATTTTCCTTAAATCTGTTATTTCAATAACTAGGAAGACTAACAAAAAAAAGCCTATATTTGCAGTGTCAGGACAAGGCTACTTTTTTTTATGAGAACTACCGACAACCTGTGGGAGTTCCGGAGAGCTGATATTTGTTATCACAGTAGACTCACAAAACAACACTAAGCTCCCAGAAAGGGGGAACAGACCAATTCTGTATTGGAAAAGTTTGAACTGAGGGAAAGGACGCTGTGATTTGTGTTTTAGAAGAGTGAAGACAGTCCCAAAAACAGCATAGATATAAAGGATGGAGACAGGATTTTATAAGGGGAACCAGAAATATACCAGGTACAATGTCAGATTTAGAGCTAGGGACAATAGCAGGACCAAGTCAGGCAAGAAGCTAAGAGCATAGACACAGGGCCATGTAGGACACCTGTGAAAATGGAGGCATGACATTAGCTGCATAAGCCATAGACGCACATGTGCAATTACAGGGCCTGATCTATGGATGATCAGGGGGTGTAAAGGCAGGTGACAAAAGTTGAATGTTGCAGATATGGGTTAAACTGGACTCCAGCTGGAGTATTAAAATAAAAGGTAAGAGGGTGAAACCTTAAATGGAAAAATAGGGACCATAATGCGCTAGAATAGCAAGCAGAGTGCATGGGACACCTGAGCTCATAAATACCCAAAAATCAGAGGTAAGTGATGGAGGCAATAAATAACCCGGGCACACCAATATCTAGAGGCTGAATACATGTCACTGAGGAGACTAGCTGAATGCCCACAGCTTCCACAATACAGCAAACAGGCCTGAGACAGAAGCTGGCCTTAACAGCACGACGCATACGGATACACCTGCGCCTAGGGATGTGACTCACTGAGGAAGACACCCCAGGCTGAGGAATAACGACGGGGCTTTTCTTGGAGGGAAGCAGGAGAAAACTGAGGTGGAAACGGCATGCTGCCAGAAAGCAGAAAGCAGAGGAAATGGCGAGCAGCGCAGCAGCTGGCAGCATTGCGACTGCTACCAAACCAGCTCCCGCTGGAAAACTGCTTGGGTTATTGGAGAGCCATGGCCAGCCCACGACGTGCCGAGGGAATGATGCTGGTCACGGACAGGAAGAGCGGAAAAGTGACGTCAACACTCAGGCAGGTAGCTGCTGGCTTCACACGGCAGCCGGTGAACTGCCTTCAACAATTTACTTTCTCTGCCAGGTAACGAACAGTATGAAAAATTCAGATCAACAAACAGAAGCTGTTACTGAAGTAAATAGCAGACGCATATGAAGGCACTATGACCTAAATCATAAGAAATCTTTGCTTATATGCAAGACTCTTCAGATTTCGGCAGTATCGTCCAAATCGAAAACTTGCAAATTTACATTTACCTAGAATAGGAAACAAAACCCCACCCACAATCCTGAACGTTTAATTTTTTTTTTGGCATTACCAAAAAAAATTAAGGTAAAAGAACTCTGAAAAACCCCATGAGAAAATGAGAAATCGGATATGTTCATTTGAAAAAAGGCGAAGTGCTGCAGCACCATCTAAATCAAGCCGATAATACAAATAAGTAACTGGCTCCAACATACCATTGCAAGTGAGAGGCAACAGACCAGCTGTTTACAAAGAAACGGAAAATAAATGCCGTTTAGGAAAGACGACAGAAGCAGCAGCTGACTTTCAGGAACACTTTAAATGAGCCAGGAAACTGTGAGCCACCTGGGATTGAGCAGAGGAGCAACAGGGAAAGGGAAAGGGGTGCCTTTTACCTGCATTTATTCTTATACGGGCATGACTGAGGGGCTGGTCTTAGTCTCAAAACTTCAGCAACTCCAACGCACCCACTTAAAGCACCATAAACTTGACAGCATCTTACATCTTTTTTCTCTTGCTCCAGTTTTGAAAGTTTCTGAACTGCAAGCGTATGAAAAGAGTGCACTAGTGCTTCACTGCTCTAGCCTAGTCACTGAGCATCACGATGCACAGTAACGCTCAGCACTCCTGGAGCGGAGTAGGGTTATCACACAGCCCCTCCTGAGAGTGCTCATCAGCTCGAACGTGGTGGGAGAGCAGAACAGAAGGCTGGGGCACTAATGCTCAACGAGATCAAAACCTCTTACAAGACTTTTGCTCATAAGTTAATGGTCCAGTAAATGCAGCAAAGCATTTTGGAACATGGGCTTAAATAAACATGTATGTAAAAAACACGCAGAGGTCTAAAGAGACCTGCACAGTTTGCAGCAATTTATAGCAATTTATGAACTTGGTATTATACACAGCTGTTTTGAGCACCAATATGTTCAACAGAAAAACATACATTGAAGAAACGGGCCCTTTGAAGAAACGGGCCTTTAGGTCAACCACAGTTGTAACACTACTACCGAAGAAGTGGAAGATCCAGTGAACTCTTTAACATTCACTGCTTAGGGGAGTTGAAAAGAGCAAACAATTTTTTAGAGGTTTCCTCATTTTCCTGAGAAAGCAAAAGGAACTAACTAAAGACTCTCAGAATCTGGTCTTTCTTGCTTCCTGTCTTAGTAAACCGAAAAGAAAGTGGAAAAAGAGTGGGTGTGAGAAGCATTTAGTTGTGCAAACAGTTGTGAAACAGTTGCAAACGGGGGAATATCGTCCTCACAAACTAACTCAGCCTGTTTCCTTCGCTGCTCTGTGAGCTGTATCAATGACAGGAAGCATGCACACAATCAAAAGTCAAAAACAAAAGAAAAACAAACAGGATGGGGTCAGTGACTAAATTAAAATGTTCTTAAACACAAACCAAAAGTATACTATACCTGTCTTACAATTAAAGTGCCATCTTTGGAGGGGGTGACTGCAGGATCACTCTCCACTTCATCGTGAACGATCATTGTCTTCACAGATTCTGTCTCTCCGTTACTCAACTTAGAAGATCTGGTGGAAGCAAGCCAGTGGCAGAAGGATTTATGACAAATCACAGAAATGGTGTGAACACAAACAAAAAGTATTCTTCCTACCAGCGATGTAGCTCTTGCTGCATTTATGATTTAACCAGAGGCTATTTTTATATATATATCAACCATACAGGCTTGAAGCTTTGCTTACCATAATGAGGGGATATTCATGACCAATGTGTAAGTGTTCATTTCACAGCAATTTGTTAAATAAAATGTTTAAACGCATTCTGAAACAGTATGTGATCCTCATTTATGAAGATTATTTTATTAGCACACATCTCTTTGTAACTGTTTTTTTATCCTTCACAAACAGCCCATTCCCTAGAAAAGCTCGTTAAATGTACATCTTGATCTCAGACCAAGCCAGTTACATCACTAATAGACCCAAGAGGCTTTGTTTTCCCAGCTCTGACCTATTTTTAAGTAAAAGCAAACAGTCTCCCTTCAATTAGCAAAAATTAAACCGTCCACAGCCCTTGCCTGCATCCTAAACACTGTGCATTAAGTGAAACAGGATTTTTTTTAATGTAACCATATGAATTTTAATTTCCATAAATTTGCATGTCATAAAAACAACATGTTCTCCGTATTAGTTAATTTGCTATGAATATCTTAAGCTTTCTTGCACAACTATCTTCTCAGTTTAAATCCCTCAGTCTCGCTCCATCTGTCTGCTACTTGGCTGAAGCAGCATTGAAAACACAAGCAAAACTGAAGGCGCTTTCCATTTTAAAACGCAAAACGAACTGGGAGGAACTCTTGTCATCTTCATCTAACTCCACCCCTTAACATCACGCTCAAATCTGGCACGCCGTGCCAGCTAGAACCAAGGCCACATGCTCCTCACCCATCGCGGCAGACAAAAGAACATAAGGCTACGTCTTCGGCAATATGTCAGAAGCAGCTGAAAGCTGGGGAGTTCTGAGAATGAATATGTGCCAGATTTCTGTTTGGGAAGCGTTGTGTTTTCAGGTTCCCTCCACCGGTAAGTTAATCAGCTGAAGGAGTGAGGAGAAGGGGCTGGACAGGCTCAGCGAAGTGGAATCAGGGATCTGGCACATACACGGCTCTGGAGTCCTCAGGGCCCGAGGTGGACTCGTCCGCTCCCTCCTGGTCCAGCTCCTCGTCCTCCTCGTCCGTGGTGCCCGACTCGTCACTGGACGAGGAGTAGTCGGTCACTTTGTGGGGCGGGCGGACGTCCTCCACGGCCCGCAGCTCCTTGGCCAGGGCCGTGAGGTCCTGCGGACGAGGGGAGAGGCATGGGCGGGGCACCCGAGAGGCCGGGCCGCGCGTTTCCGCTGCCGGCCACCCCTGGGCCCCCGCCGGCCCCCGAGACGGGCGTCCCGAGGCGTCACCGCGAGCCAGACCGGGGCCGGCGGAGCTCACGAAGAGGACTGCCCCACCGGGCTGAGAGAGCAGCCGACAGAACTCCCGGACACATTCCGGGACCCGGGGCAGGCAGCGGAAACGGCGGGCGGAGCAGAGTCACCGCAGTGCGGCCGTGCCGTTAATGTCAGGGAAATGGGGATGAATGATGGACTTCATCAAGGTGCAACAGTTATAAACTCGACTGAAGGTCCCAAATCAGAAATAACACCGTGTGCAGTTCTAAGGCTTCAAATCTTTCTGTCCCTCCCCAACTCGTTCACTCGCATTCCACCTCCCCCCCCAAATGGGTGACATCAGACGCAACGAGCAGGCCCCTGTTCCACGACGAGCCACGCGATTTCAGCCACGTTTTTCCATCTGACAGAAGAGAGTACAGTAGGGTCTCGACATCTGTGGCTTTAACACGCGCAGTTTCACCTGTGATGAGGCCTGGCTGACGGTGTCTTGTACAGGAGAAGAGCAGGGCTGGAAGCAGCCGAGCTGAAGGTTAAGTGCCACTGTTGAATTAGCGGCACAACACTCTAGGACTGAGACGAATCTAGCGCGAGAGAGCCTCTCCCTGCCCCCTGCCCTGGTACCCACTACCCAGGACCCCCACCTCCTGTTTCTGCATGGTAGCGAATGCTCCAGGTTCTGTGCCAGCAGTGTGGGCAACGACAGGCTGGAGACGACCGTACAGGCCCTCCGACAGTCCGAGTCAGTGCAGCAGAGAGATCAAGTACGAGCTGGACGCAGAGCATGGATTCATGTTTATTTTAGCTGATTACTTTAAGTTTGTGATCTTTTGATCTTGTTTGCATCTTTTAACTGATCAGTTTAAAGCATTATTTAAATTAGCTTAAAGCCAATGCATTAGTATTTTAAATGATCATATAAGGGAGGGTTTAACTTTTTTCTTTTAACCACACATATAGTACTATATACTTTAGTACATTATACATGCGACTGTATAATACAAGTGGACAAGTGGTGATTTGTGAATGTGGCCAGCGCTGCTCTGCACTGACCCTTCGTGAATGTCGAGACCCTGCTTTACGTACACACTCTGCAGGAATGCCTGTGATTTCAAAGATGAAGGCTCATCTGCCTCTGTTACCGTAGTTTCAGAAATATCACTTTGTTCATAAAAAAGCTAATAAAAGTCACAAGCCAGAAACATTTCATGAAAGAGCACTGGATGGTAATAAACTAATTTACAAGTGTGGTAATGCCTCCTCTCTATTGACTGAAATTCCCCTACAGACCTCTTGTAAGTTCGATCGGAAATGCAGGTGTTTCTGCTTAGAACAGTTTGCCCACTAGAGCAATGCCATAAAACCGTAATAACAGACGATTACGATTATATCACCTACTGGCAATGACTGTCATTCAGGAATGAGCCATCCTTTCATTACAGGACTTTACATTTTCAAAGAGGATACTGCATCAGCTAACCTGGCCAATCTAAGATGGGTAGAATGAAACAATGTGAATTTGTGGGTTTGGATCTCATTTCTTTAAAAAAAAAAATGGGACAGTTATGCTTGGGGCAGGGTGTAGGAACGGATCCATTTGATACTACAACAGCAAGCCTTCCACCAAAAGCAAAGGGCTCGGGTCTCTCAGATGGGACAGGCAGTAGCAGGCAGTGACTTCATGATTCACATGAATTCAAATGAGATGCAGTTTGATGACAGAGCTTACCACTTCACCCTACAGAATTCACAATCATATGATTAGGCCATTGATGCCACATGGTGATGTTGGCAGCGCAGCCAGCGAAAGAAGAACAAAAAAACGCACAGGTCAGCATATTGGTACATGAATTGCTGCTAAACTTTGTTGCAAACAAGATAGCACTGCTGTTACTGAGCTAGAAACTCTATGCATTTAATATTAGATGCACATTCCCAGCACTGACTGCAATACGGAGTGCAGAAACCATTATACAAAATGACCTCAAAACAGTAAACAGTAACAGGTTGAAGAGTTTGGCACATCACAAAATTGCTCAATGCAGCAGAAGGTGCAAAGTTGACACCTACAGGTTCGTAGAAAATTTGAGGAATTAGGAACTGTTTTAACATCCTTTACAATAGTAATCACTCCAGAAAATAAACACACAAGTACTTACAGCAGGCCTGCTCGGTCTGAAAACATCTTTCTTCTCTTCAGGCTTTTTTGCAGCATTTTCTTGCCGCTGTGATGGAGAGCCCTCCGATTTTGATGACGCTGAATACAAAGAAGGGCATATAAATATTATAGGTCTTGACAAAAATGCTCAGGGATCACATGTATATACGAACATCGTTTGTGTTGATCTGAAGAACAGTTTTTACAATGCAATGGTTATGACTATACTGCAGAACTACACAATAACCGCTGACAAGGAAGAAATACAACCCAACCTAAGAAACCGCTGACCTGCTTGTCTGTAATAACCAGCACTACGACACTCCCAGCAGTTTAAAAAGAGAGGATTTTATATGATTTTCAAGCTATTGCAGCACAACATGGTCAAAAGCAGATGTAAGTGGCTGCAGTTCGCTTGGCTCGGCATCTAGCCCGAGGATAACGTGCAGGGATGTCAACCAACGGTGCAGGAGATACGTGCTGCAGGCCGTGCAGGGCGCCGGCGTGCCTGTCTCACGGCCACTGGGGTCACTTTAACCGGTGAGCTGTCACAGTGTGCCTTCCTGAGATCGTCCCGGGCCCGATTTAAAGCGCTCTCCAGCGCAGACCCGGGCTTCCTTGCTTCGTCAGGAGCTAGAGGGCTGCCGCCAGCCCCGACACAACAGGCGAGCCCTCAGGACAGGGCCGGAGCCGGAGCCAGGTCACGCCCGGGTCCCCCCCCACCCCCCCGCCGGCGGGGCTTACATCTCACGCGGAACCTCTCCCCGGAGCCACTCTGGGAGCCGGGCTGGGAGCCGGAGTTGCTGGAGCCCGAGGAGCTGCCGCTGCCGGGGCGCGGGACCAGCTTCTCCACCCGCTCCCACAGCAGGCGCGGCTCGGCGTTGCTGCGGGGAGACAGGGCCCCGGGGGGCCGTCAGCGAAGGGGGCCCCCGCACGCCTCGGAGCGCGCGGCGGCGGGCTAGCGAGGAGCGCGGCGGGGCCTTCCGGGGACCCGGTTACCATCCAACCAGACCGGCAGAGACGACGACGATTCACGCCGTTAAAATATTGGCCATTAAAATAAGAGTGATCCCCACGTCCTTCAGGAGAGACCCTAAAAACAGCGCTGAAACACGGTCATATGGAACGACCCCCCTCTGCCGTCTCCTCCCTGCAGAGGCATTTTAGTTGCTCAGGCCGCTTCCCATATCAAGCTAACGACGCCGACGTCGCTGCCGAGCAAGGCCCCCGCTGTCACCCGCCCCGCTACACATCGTTCCTCACCAACAGCGCGGGTGCGCCGCAAAAAATTCACCGCGCTTCACCACGTTTTTCAAGGCCCCGGTTTTTTCGCGGCTTTTGATCCAGAAATGGGAAAAAAAATATATCAGGGAAGCTCCAATTCTAACTTTAAATAATTCTTCTTGTAGATCAGGCAAGTGGCGTGTGGGTGAAATCGTGAAGCGTCGTGCCCCAGGATGAAAGATGAGCTGATACCACCACACAACGCGTCGCTCGTCCAATCAGTGGATCAAGGTTTGATCACTGATTTTAAATTCCGAAACGGTGTGCGGAGAGAAATCTTCCCTGGAGTGGCAAGAGACTCTGCTGGGTCCGACAAGGTCACAATTCCCAAGGAGTTGGGGATGCTATCTAATGCTAATTGTTTTTCCTGGTTTGTAGGTACATTAATTGTATGTACCTGTACGTTGAGAATGCAGAGGAACAAGTAAAGGTTTCAATCCCCTGCTGAAAAGAGATGAAAGGAAACAACGTTTCGGCTGAGGAGCTTTCTTCGAGTGTGACACCCGAATAAGGCTCCACACGCACCTCCGAAGGCTCCTTCACATATCCGAAGGAGACCCCACAGCTGAAACGTTGTTTCCTTTCATCTCTTTCCAGCCTGGAATAATCCTTCTTTCTTTGCAGCCTTTGCATGCTCACACACCTACCTATTAGAACGGCTGTTGGGAATGCATCCTTATGGATATTATTTCCCCTTTTGCTGTAAGTGGCGTTATTTGGGAACACAACTTGGATTTACAATCGGACGCTCTGTACCGTATATGGCACCTGCAAGCGAAGTGCAAACTAATTCATGGTCCCTAATCCAAACATAATCCAGGAATTCTATCCTCCACATTCACACTGTTCTTGTTCTCCTACAGACAGCGCCTCACGACAGACGACGCGTATCGGGGGACTGCTCCTACAGAGCTCTCTGTGGCGGTGCAACGCTGGGACCGGACGCACGGCTAAAACGACGCACAAGCACGCATTTCCAGACGAGCGGGAGCGCGGCCGAGGTCTCGGGGATTGGGGATTGGGAGGTGGGCGTTACCTGGAGGAGCTCCTCTGGCCAGCTGGGCCGCTGGGCTGTCCGACAGCCTGCAGGGGAGAATCCCGCCGCGACAGGACCGGGGACCGGGACGTCGTCCTCACTGGAACCTTCCGAGCAGAAAGACACTTTCACAGGGGTGGGAAGCAGAGACAGACACGCCCGCGGACAGCCTCCACCGCGCCCTCCCTCTCCGACTGCTTTGCCTTTGTACAATTCTTTCAGGACCGTGGAAGACGGGGGTGGCTCTTCGGAGTTTGTACATTAATGGCTCCCTGAGGCAGCACATTTTCAGAGAGGAACGTCTGTCGATTAATAATCTGTATAATTATTTCTGACGATAAAAGATCATGTAACCTTCAAGCCTCATTAAGCAAGTAAAAGAATGGGAAACGCTAGGCCCATTAAAGCACATGATGAACCGCGACACTGCAGCTCTGCAATGAAACGGACAGGAGGAACCCAAGTGGTCTACAGGCGCTCTCGAGAGAGACTTTCTGAAAGATCTTTCTCATTTCATAGTGGCGTGCTAGCCCAAGTACACTTTAGTAATATTCAGTATTTTTTTATGCAAGAGCCCTGAAAACCTCAAACAAAATGTAATACATTTAGGATGTCTACATTTCTTGTGTTACCTTCATTAAAACTTTTTAGATTATGATCAGGCTAACTGTTCTTGTGTATAGTTTGGGGGGGGGGGGGGGGGGGAAGTGTACACTGGAGGGAAAATGCATATTTGTGCATAACCTTTTGCGGCTTCTGCAAACTACGTTTTTCTTCCTTTAAAAGAGTGCATGATAACAGGTGTTTGATGTATACAATTATTTGAACAAATGAAAGCTACAGAGTTCCCAAAAGCTCCCAAGTTAGTCTGATATTTCAATAAGAATTTATTTCAATGTTCCAGAATGCCATTAAGACAAAACACCCCCTTCCACCGAAGGGACCAGGAACAGAACCCCAGATCTAAAGCAGTTGTTTAAGCAGATGAACTTGGTAAACGAGGGTGTCCGAGTGACGCCAGAGCCTCAGCATGGCAACACAAACTGGTTAACAGGCGATAGTCTCGCAAAACCACAGGAGAAGTTCCGAACAGCATATATTGTAGCAGGAAGTACAGTATATGCTGTACTGGCCAAGGTAAGCCAGCCCCTTCTTGGTTAGCTGACAAAGATGAATGGGGCAGATGCAAATCTCTTTTTACAAAGGTTTGTGTAATGAGGTATTTTAATTAAATAGATACATTACACGTATAAATACCAATAAAAAGCACTAGGGGTATAAAATGTATTCTGTAACGGGAGCAAATCTATTCTTGTCTGAATGTTAGTAGGTTAATAAAGCAATCACCCTTCCTTTCAGAAGCCAAAATAAGCACCACATTAAAGGTTATCGTGAAGATAGATCAAGTAGTGGAGAACAGCCCTGAATGTGTAAAACAATTTTTATATGTATACAAAAAGGGAATTTAATTCCCTAAATGAAAGCTCAGTGAAGAGGTCTACAGTAATCTGAACTCTGTACTTGCATAAACAGATTAAAAGAAAATGACGTTTTTGAGTAAAGGACAGACAAAATAACTGAGTAAAAGTGCTATATGTTTAAAATCAATATCCCAAATGTAGCAAAAGTCTGTTGCAGATGAAACAGTCAGCCTTCATCAGACATCGAAGCAGCTGCTCTTTAAATACAAGCACCAATTCAGATGACAAACGGGTGACTATACCAGCATTCATTAAGAATAAACACAAAAGGTGAAATTTATGTATATTGCTGCAACCCTCTTATAAGGAATCTAGTAAAACGCTTGTGAAAAACATTTTGTCAAAGGAAATGTTTGAAAGTTGCGCACAGGGATGAGCCAACAGACTGACTACCGATAAACCCAATAAAATGAATCCGATGGTTACTTGCCCCTTCACAGTATAAAAAAATACAAAAGGCAAGGATCGGTGAAAAGGGTTAAAGAGATGCTTGTTGATGTTTCACGTTGGCAGATCCAATACGCTTCCCCTGTTTTGTAAAAACATGGATACCCCCTCAGTTATCAATGTGTTCTTACTGATGCTGAGATTAATTCAGAAGCTTAACTCCTATTCTTACCATCTACTGATCGACGCTTTATCATGTTGAATCACCTTGTATTATTATTTCCTAATTATGTATTCTGCTCTTTATGAGGCCTTTACTCAGTAATTCTTCTCCAAGATTTATGGCTACATGTACACTATTCCTTGTTAAAATTGAGTTATGTTAATGGTGATTTAATGGTGAAAATTACTTACAAACTAGTGGTACAGCTAAACATTCCAAAAATTCAGACACTGGATTTATAAAAAATAATAATATTCTGTTGGAAATGAGACAATGTATTTTTGCATTAAAGGAGAATAACAAGTACGCACAGTTTGGGATTCTCACCTATTACACAAAATGAAAGATTTATGTTGGAATTTACTCAGCTTTGAACTTTTTGGATGTTAGCGAGGAGAAAGTAGTCTTACGACAGATGAGTTTAGAATTTTTTTCATAGCAGTCTGCTTTTAAAAAAATATCAATAAGACAGGTTTATGTAACCTTTTTAGTTGGGAAGGATGAATGTCCAATTATCTCAGGAAAAGTAAATATTTTAACATAACCCACGATTACAAAACCCATGATTCTACACATCAAGTGATATCAATAACTAGATTAGCTAGAACATTAACACACACTCTGCAACCTTTTAAAAATACTACACTTAAAATTTGGCAAAAGCAGTTTGTAAAATAGTGCACTAAATAATCCCACTTTATTAATCCCTGCAGAAAGCAATTTATGATACTTTCCTAAAAAAAAAAGATCAGGTAAAACAAACCCAATTGCAGGAATGCTGTTACCAAACAGTAAATCCGGTAATGTTTTCCATGTTATCTACTGTCCCTGGGGACTTCGCTACGTAGCTGAATTCTAGACCTAGAATTTGTAAACCCAGGAGTGCAATACCATGCAAATGAGGGGATCCTTATTCATGACTTGTGTTGGAATGGAGAACATAAAACATACCAGAAGGAGCTCATTGTGTTCTCTCCAACCTACTGAAACCCGGGATCTGTCAAGTGGGAACATGAACAGCTCGAGGTTTTCACCGAATCGACTGCCGCGTCGCCCGTTTGTCACCCATCCTTGCTTTCGATGAACACTGGCCGTTCCAGCGGAAGGTGGCAGACTTTCGCACACGAAATTAAAGTGTGAGATTTCAAGCAAGTGTTCTTATTTTCTCATTTATTATTTTTGTTTCTCTCCAACAGCACTTTCACCCATGTTTTTGATTGAGCACCCTCACACCTGGAAACACTGTCAATTGAAATTTAAACAATTAGGAGATGGAGGGCATAGTGTTCATGCTTCTCTGTATTTTATACCGAGTTTTATCTCAGTTTCCATTATTTCCAATACCACTTTTGATTAGGGAGTGCAAATGGCATTTAAAAACTTTATAGTGTGTTTAAGTATTAATAGAGTAATAAATGTGGTAAAAATAATCCTCTACTGTAGATTTGGATGTTCGTAAACCTACAACACTAACCCTAAGGAGTAACTTTCATTACTGTTTATAACATCACTACTAACGTAATAGCTCAGGCACCTGTAACAGCCTTGAAGAGTAAAAAGCTTAACATTCATATCATTCCAAAGTCTCCTACGAAAAGTAAAGCAAAATTTTAAATCCCCACGTTCCCTTTGATGAAATGTCAGAAATGACCTATTCACATCCTTTTCACTGTTGTGAAAGTTGAACAAAAACAGATTCCCACATCGGTCACGTTTCCAAATGAGCAGCAGACCAGCCCCAGCATGTGATTGCAAAATCTAGCCTTTCACAGGCCAGGATATGTGAATGATTATAAAGTTTCCTTCTCTGTGAATACAGGTATTCAAGCATTTCTACTACAACATTCCTTGAGCTCAACAAATGTATCAACATGTATACTCTCACAGGCTCATCTAAAAGCCTTGAACATTTTCTAAGAAACACAGTTAATCGATCTTTGTTTTTTGATATTAGAGATCTCAAATGGCTTATCCTTGAATCGCTTTTAAAAACCTGAGTGCTAAAAGTTCTGAATGAAAGCAGCAGACTGCCCGGTCAGGGGGGTCTACGCCACAAAACTCGTTTTGTCTTCACAAAAGGGCTCTAAATTTAGCAAGAGACATGAAACCTCAAGCTGGATGGAGGTTCCACAGCTTTACCGGTGTCCTAAACCTGTCCAGAACAAAACACAGGTTTTAACATCGAACTGAAGAGAAGCTCAAGCAGTCAATGTGTCTTTTCAAACTCTGCTTCTATGTACGCACCGGTCTCAAGGCCTGGGCGACTTGCTTGCCAACGCAAGAATACCCTGCCCGTTACATCCCATTTGGGGACACAGCGGTGGTCAGTCTCTGTGGGGCCGCATGCAGACAGAAGCCACAGGCATCACACAGAAGACTTCTTCAGATTGGCAAAAGCCTTGAAATCCCAGGGCTGCCATGACTACAGCCTGGGCACTGGAGGATGCGTCACCCGAGTCGCCGCACACGCGGAGGGCCTGCTGCTCTTTGGACACCCGTTTCCCGATGGCAGGAAGCAGGCGAGTCCTGCATGCCTGTCCTTACCCTGGGAGGGACCTCCTCACTCTCTGCCTTAGTCCGGGCCCCTGGGTACCTATCCTTGGGGCTAGGCTCAGGCATGTCTGCTCTAGGCTCAGAGACTGGCTGCATGGCAGTGCGTGAAGGTGGACATGGGTCCTGAGAGCGAAGATGAAGATGTGCAAAAACAGGAGAAGGGTCACTGAAGGAATGGGATCGAGAGACGGGGGAAGCGTTACTCTTGAGAGATGCCAGTTGGGACCACTGTACCTTACAGGGAGAGAATAAACAACATTCAGCTTGGAGTTTGGTGCAGTGCACAGTACAGACCAAAAGGGGGAAGGAGAATGGGGGGGGGAAAAATGGACATGATTTCAGACAAACTGATTCTTGATTATATACGCGCGCACGCGCACACACACACACACGGAAGCTGAAAAGCAATGCAGGTTATACAAGCATGTGCCTCACTGGTGTTCTCAGGGGTTAAGAAAAACACAAAACTGCATCTACATAACATGATTTTAAGTTTTGTAAAGCTGGTAACAGAACTATAAACATCAGTAATCTCATGACCATCTGTGGCTTCATGACATCTTGGAATATTTGCTCCCTTTAGGACGTTGCTGCCTGTTTCCCTCACAGGAAGGCTGTAAAATTATGGCTTTTAACAAAAATCAAGAAAAAAGGAAGCTGAACCAACACCTCCTTTATCCTAACTATTTTTGGCAATATTATTGTACAAATGACAAGAAGGTGCTACTCAGATGGGAGAATATTCTGATGGGCTGTTAACAACTGGTATACAGCTGTCTGTGCCACTTTTGAGTCAGATTGCCTAAAATGAGGATCTAAGATAGGGGCTTCTTAAATTATTTTTTTTACATACTTAAATCTGAAGCACGTCTGACTGGCAGTGTACCTTCCGGTTAACTGGAACCGGCAGTAAACCAGTCAGTTCACTGAAACGTACGGCAGATGCTTGGAATCATCCACAATTTAATATTTCACCTATGCAACTTCAAAGTGTGTACACCACATCTCATGGAGTGCATATCCACAGATTCCCATCGTAAAGGAAATCCATAATCGGGGGATCAAATACTTTCGCACTTGCAGACGGCTGGCACAGGCTTCTCAAGCCCGCTGGGTAGCAGGATTCACGGTGCTCACTATGCCTGCTTCACTGCATGCGCTCTCTCGCCACGGCATGCAGGATAAAGCAGCTGTTGGCACTACCGAGCAGACTAGTCAGAGAGCGAAAGGGGTGAACTGTGCTGGGGAGCATGGATGGGTGGCAGGCTGGCAGCATGCAGGGGGGGGGGTTTCCTGCCATCAAGACTAAAGCTGAGGCTAAGAGCGGGCGGGGTGGTGGCGTGGCATCGGGTGAGGATATTCGACTGCAGCACTCAAAGCCAGACGCCACTCGTTACCTTGTCACCTGCTTCTCGACGGACCGCCTGCGCCAGAACCTCGGCGTCCAGGCGGGAGAACATCACGAAACGGGAACACACAAGGTTGCCCCCACACACACACACACACACACTACGCGAACAACTGCAGAAACATCATCCTGACCGGGGAGGCGCGTTACCTGAGAGGAGGGTGACCGCGGGGGAGACGATTTGTACCTGAGGTTCCACAGGCCTGTGCAGGGCAGGTGGGACGGGCTCAGAGTTGCCATTCGAGAAGGACTCCGATCGCGAAGGCACTGGGGGATCCAACACTTTGCAGGGCTGTCTGGACTGTGCTTGAGGTGAGCCCTGAATATTCTTTCGGAACCTCTCGTCAGCCTGAGTGGACAAACGGGGAACAGGCTCTCATCGACGTCCAAACAGGGCAACCAACGCTCAGTGCTGCCACAACGGGACCAGACACGTTGACGGCACGACGGAGACTCTTGAGATGAAACATCTACCCCACCCCCCCAGGCAATGCTGGGATTGTACAGGGTACGCCAACAAGCAAGCTGGAAAGGGTTTCAAGCAGCCAACTTGGTTAACACTGGTTTGGGAAACATGCGGGCGGGGGGGGTGAGAAAAAGACAAGCATCACTGGGGTGGAGAACATTCTCACCAATCACTGTCAAGCACACCACATCCCGTTTTGAAGACGCTGATCTAAGCAGATAGAAGATATCTGGAGAGCAGCTCGACAAGCTCTCCATTGTAAGGCACTCATCTCTCCGCCCTGGCCTGAATGGTGGGACTACGGAGGGTAATCTCAACTAGCACTTCTACCTGAAGAACGCCGATGGCCACATGGACCATCATGTCCATGTGAGGCAGGGTGATGATTTTTAAGAACCTCAAAAGGAGCCAGAACACTTTCAAGACGTACAAGTCGATACACATAATTTTAGGCTTAATAACCGATCCCTCGTGTAAGGATATAAGAAATCACTTTATTAGCCATATGCAATTTCTTGCATTAGGAATTTGTCTTTTCACAGACCCCAGCTTGCTCTCCATGAGACACACAGACAGGGAGAGAGAAGCTGGGGGTCAGAGCTCAGGGTCAGCCATTGTACAGCGCCCCTGGAGCAGCTGGGGCTAAGGGCCTTGCCCAGGAGCCCAACGGAGTAGGATTCCTCTGTCGGCCGCGGGATTTGAACCGGCAACCTTCCAGCCACAGGCGCAGATCCTGAGCCACAGAGCCACCGCTCCGCCCCAATAGAAATGTCAATCGCAGAGAATAATCTGAGTGCTGTCGCATGATCTAGCAACTACTTCCAACCGAAGTCTTTTTCCACTAATAAATGTAAATTGAGACCGTAAAAATATCGGCTTGTAGCACGTTATTAATTTTTACTCCTTACAAAAACTTAACATCCTCCATCAATGTGGCGAAAGACTGGCACAATGTGACCCTGCCCACTGAAATGTTAAAACTGCTCCTAAATCATAACCCCTTAAATCGCTCCATTTTTTACTGACTTGTGAATTGGCTCTGGTTTTCTTATTACCGAGTAAATGAAAGCTATTGTTTAAATAAACAAAACGTGAAAAAACCTTGCAAGCCTATGATCACCGTGTGATGAAAGTAAAACTTTAAACTTCAAACTGATGTGTTAAAAAGCTTTCCATGATTAAATTAAAACTATTACTATTGTATATTGATGCTAACAGTACACACCAGAAAACATGCAAGATACTATCATGCAGTGCTTACCATTCATAAAAATGAAAGATCCCTGCATTCAGTTAATAGTTCAGTTCTCAAACAACACAGAAGTAGCTGATTTCGTTGAAAACAAAAATGTTTGGTATCGGAAGCATCGATACCACATTTTGGTACCATGCACATGCAAATCTAATAAAAGGCCCCAAATAATGAGCAAGTAACAGCAACACATTTTGTTCTTCTTTGGAATGAACCCTCAGACATCACAAACTAGATATAAATTAGAGGAAACATTGTTTAACATTCCAGTACTACAGAACTGCATTAGCTGTCATCAACACTCACTACACAACAGTCAGGCGCCATTAGAAAGTCTGAGAATTAGAAGTCAAGGATTCCAAGGCTACAGTGTTCATCTCTCTGTGAACTTTCCTGCTCCCTTTCCACAGGGAAATCATGGTTTGCAATCTGGCCCAAACCAGACATGAGAGTCTGATGCCACATGAATTATCTGGGAAAGGATTGGAAAGAGGGATTCCGGTGACTTTACAGTTAGCTGCACAAAACGTTCAGCCTGAAGTCTGAAACAAAGTTGAAGAAGACCAAGTAAGCGCAACAGTTAGTTGTTCAGCTTACACTCGGGTAGAGCCAAAGACAAGTCGGGCACATCAAGCAGGACAGCAAGGAAGAAGAAAAATGTTTATTTGCGCAGGAAACAAATGAGACAAAGTCAGGGCTGGGAGAAAATGCAAGCCTTTTCTTATCTTGAAGACCCCGGTCCAGCCTTGCTGAGGCACTTAAAAGAAAGATGTTTCATCTTAAGAGGACACAGACTTGACACGGAGAAGCAACTAGGCTAGGAGCTTCAACAAAGCAGGGCCACACATTCCAGAAGAGAGGCAGAACACACGAGCTGATCTGAGGACGCCGTGGTCGTGAGTGGCGTCTGTTTCTGGCGATACTGTCCGTTCTCTGTGCGACGGCGGTCACGAGTGGAGAGCTCCATCAGAGAGCCCTCTCTGTGCCTTCGTCCCGGCCCCCGCACCGGCCTCGTCACGCATGGGAACACCACACGCAGCACAACGGCCACGGGGGACAAGGAAATGGACGGGTTTCCTGGTTCTGTGCTCAAAAGGGGAAGACCTCAACTGAAGCCAGACTGGGCTCCTGTCTCTGTCAGCCACAGACCGCCTGTGGGGACAGGGGACGGAGAGAACACCCCACCCCCCAGCTACAGGAAATGAGACGGCCCACCTCAAGCTAGACTACGTAGTGGATTTAAAACAAAAAGAAAAAGTGAGAGAGAAAACCAAAGCCAAGAAGGTACGCCGCCCACGACACTAACGCCACCACCTGAGCAGGCCTTAAGGCCGCGGCGCTGTGCGACAGAAGCAGCCGGAGGGTCTAGGCACGGTCGTTCACCTCTCGCGCGCTGTCTGGCGGCTCGGGAGCAGGGGGTTTCTGCTCTGCGGGCTGGGGAGCTTGCGGCGGCGGTGGCGGTTTATTCCTGTCCTGCGGCTGTGGCTGCTGCCTATGGCCGTGCTGCAGAGAGAGGAGGTAGGCCTGCTCCTGCTGCAGCTGACGCTGAAGCCTCTCTGCCTGACGCTGCTCTTCCATCTCCCGCCATTTGTACTCCTGATGTACAGAGAGTGCAAGGTTTGAGGCACACAGGGGCAAACGGGGCTCTGGTTCACACTAGAGGGGCCCGCCTGAGGCTCTTGCTCAGGGCCGGGCGGCTGGGAAGGGGGCGAAGCGAGGGGGGGGGCTTCCTCATCCCAGAGCAGCAAGGAACTACCGAGGTCCGCCCAAGTCACGGCAGGACTTCCAGCGCGTTTTATCAGGCCTTTCGGGATTCCTAACCGGTCTGCAAACGGGATATTTTATCTGGGATGCCCTGGTTTTAACCCTGGACTGATGGTGGTGGTCATGACCGGCCAGCAGCAACAACAACAACAACAACAACAAAAAATAACACCAAGAACTCAAAATGAAACCTGTCTAACTAGCTGTGAGTGTGCGTCGGGGCAGAGGGGGGCTGGGCCAGACTGCCCAGTGAGGGGCGTGCTGTGGGATCATCTCTACGTGTTCCTCCCAAGGACAGCGGCACCCTCTGCTGGCGGGAGGCAAGAACACCACTGCTGGATAAGAATAAAGCTGCTTCTCTGCAAGATCCATTTTTGGGGGGTTTTCACACAGAATTCTATCAAAAAAAGATAGGCCAGTTTATGAGAAGCCCACCATCTGAGAGGATGAAAACACACTAACAGTACTCAAAAAAACCTGAATGTTTTTTTTTTCATTTTACTCTACATCTTGAAGGATTTATCCATTTGAAAGGACTGCTCCACGGTTCCATTTTTAACTTGCTTTTGTTAATATCCGGTTTTGCAATAGGCATATTTTAAAATTAAGACTGTGAGCAGTCATCTTCTAGGCAAATGAACATGTCCAGAAATCCTTCATCTGCGATTTCAGGAACAACGCGGAACAATATCAGTCACGTGTGACAGGAGCAGGTGGGAAACGAACGTATTTCCTGTTGAGTGGACTTGAGGCTGCATAGGCACTGCCGGGACCTGTCTCCACCATGTCAACACTCGCAAGCCATTCCTGTTCCTGGAAATGTAAGACGACGAGCTGAAACATAACACGAGCAGTCCTATCAAACTTCCGGAACCGTTGTCCTTCCCACCTTCCCAGTCATACTTCACAGAAACGATGAGATGGATCCTAATAAACTGTGGGGGAGGAAGAAAAATCTCTTTGCAGTGGTGGAACCCTTTCAAAAGTGCCCCCCCCCCCCCAATCCAAACCGTTTCCCCTTTCCGTACGTTTCATCCACGAAGCAGGTCCACCTCGTCGAAGAACAAACCTTCAGCCGCAAGGCCAAACAGGCCGGGCCTACGCCAACACGAGCCCCCTGGAAACACCCGCCTGCTGGATAGCCCATCACCAGCCTGAGACTAACCCAACGACCGCATCGGCAACTCCGGCACACCCTGTACTACACCAGCCTCACCCCCCAGCCCCGGCCCAGCCCCGGCGAAGGAAGGAAGAGCAGCAAGTTACCAGCAACATGGCCTGTTCGTGGAGCAGCTGCTGCTGAAGAATCTCCAGGTGCCTCTGCTCCTCCTCCAGCTGGCGCCTGATGTACTCCTGCCGCACACAAGACACAGCGACACACGGGGACCGCGGGTCAGGGGCGGCTGCGTGCGGCTCCCCCTTCAGGCCGCGCAGAGCCCCGGCTGGAGGGACCGCGGCCTCCAGCCCGGGAGACGGCCCGCCAGAACCACCACCTGCTACAGGCGCGGTTCGCGGGAGACGAGCTTGAACTCCCTCCCGCCTGTACAAAACCCACACAGGGTGAACTTGTACAAAACCTACCCTGAGAGCGAGATGTGCTGAAGTCTGCTTCGCATGCCTCTTTGAGGACGAACTACTTCAAACCACATTTTTAATCTGGAGATTGGCTCTGCAAGGCGAATCTCCAACTGGGGTGGCGCCGCAGGAGATTAAAATTGGCGATACGGGGCCTGAGAGGGGTGACGCCGCTGGGATACTCTACTGCAACTCACAGCTGGCAACCCACTGAAGCTCAGCAGGTGTGAGCCTGGTCAGTACCTGGATAGGAGACCTCCTGGGGAAAACTAAGGCTGCTGCTGGAAGAGGTGTGAGTGGGGCCAGCAGGGGGCGCTCACCCTGTGGTCTGTGTAGGTCCTAATGCCCCAGTGTAGTGACGAGGACACTAGACTGTAAACAGGCGCCGTCCTTCGGATGAGACGTTAAACCGAGGTCCTGACTCTCTGTGGTCATTAAAAATCCCAGGGCGTTTCTCGAAAAGAGTAGGGGTGTTACCCTGGCGTCCTGGCCAAATTTCCAATTGGCCCTTACCAATCATGGCCTCCTAATAATCCCCCTCTATGAATTGGCTTCATTACTCTGCTCTCCTCCCCACTGATAGCTGATGTGTGGTGAGTGTTCTGGCGCACTATGGCTGCCGTCGCATCATCCAGGTGGGGCTGCACACTGGTGGGGGTGGAGGGGATCCCCATTACCTGTAAAGCGCTTTGAGTGGAGTGTCCAGAAAAAGCGCTATATAAGTGTAAGCAATTATTGTTATTATTATGTCACTGCAGCGCGTTCTTCCCTTTCTCTAAGGTGACCGAGGCCTTGGCTGCCCCAGGCTCACGCCCCGAGTTTGCCTTTCAGACCATCCAGATATTCCAGCGTGTGCCGATGTCCAGGCCCCACGCTCCCGTTCCTGCTCCGAGCCGCAGGACGGGGCGGCAGCGCCGCGGCCGGCCTCACCTGCTCGCGCTCGGCCCGGCGCCGCTCCTCCTCGGCCCGGCGCCGCTCCTCCTCCTCCTTGCGCCGGCGCTCCAGCTCCTCGACCCGGCGCTTCTCCTCCTGCTCGCGGCGGCGCTGCTCGCGCTCCTGCTGCCGGCGCACCTCGCGCTCCCGCCGCTGTTGCTGTGGCGACGCGGGGAGAGAGAGAGCGCCGCGGCGTCAAGCACCCTGGACCCTGGAGTTCGCTTACGCCCCGGCTCGCAGCGACACCCCCTGCAGCTCATGGGGGGGGAGAGGGGGCTCAGGATGCCACCCCCCCTTCCCGCTGCTCTTCTAACGTGCCCCCAGCAGCCCAGCCCTGCGTCACAGAGCCCAGTGCCGCGCGGCGCCCTGGCCGGCTCATCCCACCCAACACTGGGGCGGCCATCGCCACCCAGCGGCGCGACCCGGGATCGAACCCGGGATCACAGGGCTCAGCTGAACTACTGCATTTCGTCTTCTCTAAGAGAGCTGGCTTCCTAGATGTGAACTACTTATCTGGCTGAATCTGATCACACCACCTGCTGCGCGTGAGGCGCGGGAGAGCTCGGGTCTCTCCCCGGTGAGGCAGAGGAGTGCTACAGCACTTTTAAGTCTATGGCAGTAGACAGTCAGAAACTAGCAGGGTTTCAAGGGGAAAGGCAATACCCCTCTATCGAAACTGCTTGAAAAATCACTGATAATTCAAAACATTTACAAATATTTTTTTTGCATTATGAAAGGCCTTAAAAAACTGCAAGGCACATTTGGATATAAGGCACATAAGAAAACCTACTTGGAAACAAAACTGTAGTGGGAAGAAGAGATCCCACTGACAGAGCTCTTTCCATAATTCGTGCCAGATACTTCAATAACGAGAAACACTGACCCCGTTCCTACAAGCGGAGGTTGTTTTTGGAAAAGTTAATAAAGCTCCACAGTTCTACAGAGCTGAAACCCTATAAAAACTCAGGAATCAACCTAGCAAAGAGCATAAAACATCCGAAGAATGGCCGAGGTTCTAAATAGTAACAATCGGGTATGTTTGTCCATGATGAACAGAAATATGTTACAGCCCTTGCAGCAACAGAGCCAGCGCAGTCGCAGTGCAGAGAGCATGCCAATTATAGAAACTGGCCCAAAAGGCGAGTGACCTCTAATGAGGATGACTCAAAGTACGAAATACGAAAAGAAACATCAAAACAGGCTCCAGACCTCGAAGGCCGAAAAGCAGAGAGAGTCAACAGAAAGCCTGGTAAAAAATCTGTCTAACCCTGCATACGAAGAGGGCCGCCTGAAAAGGGAAAGACACCTGTGGTACAAACTAAAGTAAATGAAACACAAAGTATTTCTATCACGGCATTATCCAGATTAGAAATGGCCCTCGTTCACGCACGGCTGCTCAGAAACGGGATCACGGTGGTTGTGTGCCAAGATGTTAGATGTAAACTCCCTTTCCAGGTTCTTCATGAGGATGAAAGTCAGCCTTCGGGGGAGGCTGCGCAGGTGTGCACAGATCAGGATTTCGGGCTTGCGAGTTCAGTTGTAGTGGGCTGTGGCCCGGACGCCCGCGGCGAGCAGCTCTCCGGGAACGCTAGTCATTTTCGGGGGACTCTCAGGGGCCACAAACCACTTGGGGGCCACAGCTCTCAGGGGCCACACCTCTCGGGGGCCTCGCGCACGCCGCAGCCGTCTTACCTCCTCCAGCCGCCGCCGCTGCTCCTTCTGCTGCTCGATGCGCTTCTGCCGCTCCGCCAGCAGCTGGCGCTTGTACTCCTCCTGCTCGCGCAGCTGCTGCTCCTGCAGGAGCTGCTGCCGCCGCAGGGCCTCGGAGCGCTCCTTGTTCTCCTGCTGCAGGCGCAGGAAGTCCCGGCGCAGCGTGGACTCGCCCGGCACGTTCACGATCGAGCTGCGAGCGGGGGGAGAGCGGGGCGTCAGGGCGGCTGCGGGCGAGACGGGGGAACCGCAGCCCCGGTCTCTCAGGCCCGGCCACTAAATAAATTCACCGGCGTTCTAGAAAAACAATCTACGCATTTCAAATTGAGCACAACATCTTGAACTTCGTGAAGGTACCGGGAGTCGCCGTGTTCCCAAGAAATGCGACATGATTCGGCCCTTCCTCCCCGCTAGCCCCCGGAAAGACTAATGCGCTGTGTTGTACATCTCACCGAAGAAATGTTCCAACATGACCTGCACGTTGCACGCTGCAGAGTTAACAAGTAGTATTTGTCAGCAAAACCGTCTCGAAGTCGAGAGCAATATTTCTGCTGGATTAAAAGATGCATTCATTATTCCTTACAATGTCACAGGGCCGTTTGGTTGCCCCGTTCGGAATCGCAGAACATGGCGCTGCGCACACCTGGAAATGTAGTCTATTTTGTGATGCAAATCGGAGGTTTTATAAATGACGGCGCACATTTTACTTTTATTGCGGTTTGAAATGCGCTCATCAATGCTGATTTTTGATGAGCGCATTTTGATGAGCCTGAAATATAAAAATAGCGATGCAGTTCCCCTTGAATGGCCTAGTATCCAACAAGAACGGGAACTTGAAATTTCGACAGGGAAATTGTGCACAGCGGAAGAGAAGCCCGAATGGATCAAGACAGAAGACAAGGTGCAGGGAGCAGTTAAGCCTGGACAGAGAACAGCTCAACACTGAGAACCTGAATCACAGAAGGAACACAAGCAGCACAGGAGAGACCTCTATCATTGAGTTAGCACCAAGGCAATCACTCCTTCACTCCCTAAAGAAAAACTTTCACAACCCCATCATTTTCACGTACAGACCATTTCCTTAAATCAGAAATCCTCCGCATACTTCAGCATTGAGTGTCCCCAGAGACTTCTGACTGACTGCTGCAAACCAATAGCAAACTGCTACCACAATAAATTAGTGACCAATACAACCACACAACATGATCAATTTGACACGTACACCGGGAAAGAAATATCTAATGGATTTTAAAACGCTTTCAGAAGTAAGACACCTGGACACCTGCTACTTGTCAGAAATGGCTTTCTGCTACACCTCAGAAACAGTAGAGGCGCATGAAAGCTTATAACTTTCTCAGCAGGACAAGGAACACAAACGTTTCCATCAGAGGACAGTGGTGTGTTTGGTGTACAGAGAAGTCCGGTTCAAGTCAGGTGGTCAGGAAATGACATTGCGCCTGGATTGTGGTTAAAAACAGTAATTCAATGCAAATGGGGCACTGCCCCTGCAGTTGACCACAGTGATTTAGACTTTTCATTTTTCACCTATAAATTATACACAAAAAACAGAAAACATTCTGCTGAAGTCTTGATCACATTTCAGTCTTGGAGGAAGTTGCAGTTCTACTGCTGCAGTGTGGGTTACAGATGAGCAATGCACAAGACACATTTGCACATCACTTCAGCACCATCAACACTCAAGTGTCATGCCGGGTTAAGATGCAGATTAATACTTAGTTCATGTTGTTCAGATGTTTACATTCATGTAAGTGTTTTTAACCAATTGCATATCCGATTGATAGACCTAAATATGACAGCTGGCCTCAAAAAGCCCAGGAAACGCTGCAAGAAAACTATTTTAAAATTGCAACTTAACTGTAAAGAAAAAGAAGCAAACTACTACTTAAAATGAATACTGGTGCTTAATTGCTGTGGGAAATACGGACTCAGATGGCAGCCTTAATATAATGACCACGTGTTTTATTTTTGGAGAGTTCTCAAGAAACTCAAAGCAGTATCTGGCAGTAAACACTAAAAAGTCAACAGACTTCAGCATGTCCAGAATTCAGCATCCCTGGTGCTGAAGCACTCTGCATCGGCACATACTTCCTGTCCTCTGTAAACTGCACTGGTTTCCTGTGGAATTTTGAGCGGACTTTACGAGGCACTGAAGGTGCAGTTTATTTTCAGGACGTACTATATAAATCTATTCCAGCTCTTAACCTTTGTGTCCAGGAGAAGACCAAGCTCTGTACACAACGGCCCATGGGGCTTCCTGTGTGTAACACCATGACTACAGAACTAATTTCCCACATTCATCACACTTTCAGAAATCAAAAACTTAAAGATCCATCTTTTAACGACGAATTTCACCCTCACTGCTGGTTTTCACAAAGTCACTTCGCAGTACCTTTTTCACCACTTCGTTTTTTGCTTCAATTGTGTATTGTGTGCTACTGTACAGTGCCTCGAGTTCTTTGAAAAGCTCTTGAGAACTGTATTTAGCAAAGTCGGGTAACACAAAGTAAAGGTTACAGTAGTTACAAGTAGGGAGCTGCGTCAGCATGCATGGGCGGCAAAGGAGCAGGTAAAGGTTTACTCCATGCTGAAAAAAGAAAGGAAATAACTTTTTGGCTGTGGTGCCTTCTGTGGGTCTTCATCACACCATCATCATGTTTAAAAGAAGCCGAGGTTCACTAACTAGGAGTCAAACTTTGAATCTGAATAGGACATAAAGATCACCTCGAGCATATTTTCCACCCGATTCAGCAGAGTGGCATAGCTCACAATATCAAATGCTGCATCTCAATCCAGGAGAAGACCATTAAGTAATGGGTCAGAGGCAAAGCATCGACTGCACGAGGAAGGGCCATTTCTGTGCAGGCTCTGAACCGAGACTGAAAAGGTTCAAAGTGCTCAGATGCAAGATTCAATTTTTTTTCCATAGCACTGTAATTTTCCACCCAACATACCACTGTAATCTTCCACAGTATTTTGACTCCACTGTTATGCTATAACACTGTATATACAGGGGATATAAATATTCCTTAGGATCTCTTGGCATCAGATAAACCAGATTTTTTAAACTTTACATATTTACAGCGGTACTGTCCACAATCTTAAAATGTCTTGGTTTAAATTAAATGTATAACTGTTGCTTTTCAGGCCAACCTCAACCCAGGGTCTAGAAACATAATTTTTTGTAATATTTAAGACTGTTATGAAGGTTAACATAAAAAAAACTGTATTCCTGCTTGTAAGTATAACGTTTGTGGACCTCTCCTGATCTATGGTTTCTGGCAATTATTTTTATTCTTGGCTTTTATAAGCTTAAACAGACAACCCTGTTAAATTATGCACTAGATTTAGCTTGAGCCCTCTCTATTTCATGCCTAATATCATTAAACTAGCGTTTATCAGAGCACAGATTTGACGCCTGGCAGCTCATAAATATTCATATAAACCCATCTATGGGCCTGGTGCAGATTTCAGCGGTGTACTTGCGCTGACACACTCTTGCTGCCAGGAACAGGACAGCGAGCAGGCCTCTACAATCTGGAAAGACCTGCCTGGCCCTCACAGGCCTTATTCGCTTTAAAAGAGCTGCCAGCATATCCAGAACACCCCCCACAGACTCAGCAGCACACGCCCAAGAGCCACACAAGGACCAGAGAAACGAAGCGCACCGTTTCCGGAACGCACCCCGATGGCTTTTGTCGGGATGGGTCCCTTCAGAGCCCGAGTGAGAGCGGCCCGTCCCAGGCCCGGCGGAGCGTCATTACCTGGGCTCTCCCTCCTGCTCGGGCGCCTCTTCCTCCTCCTCCTCGCTGCCGCTGTACTCGTACTCCGTTTCGTCTGGCAGGAAGGCGGGGGGGGAGAAAAAACAATTGCAAAAACAAGGTTTTGCCCCATTTTGTAGGTTATTTTTGCCGAATCGGTGACTAGGTGGCGGAAGAGGCAGTGGGCCTAGCTGGGTCTAGAAGCATAAGGGGTCACAAACCAGCCTGCAAAATAACTGCAAGAATTGTCCCTGACGCTAGGACAATTCAGTGACGGACAGTATCGGAGCATCATTACTGATCACACTAGCAACGTGAACGTTACAACATTCTTCTGGTGTACACGAAACAGCAGGACTAGCTTACGGTTTAAATTCCTGTTAAGCGCTAGTGTAAGAAAAACGGGGTTCTACCTAAACAGTAAATGTTCGGTATGTGAATCTGCCTGCAGTCCTGTTATGGCAGGTTATGGCATACGATTACGTTTCACGTGGCGCGGGAAAAATTTTGACATCAATTTCTTAGAAATACAGAGCACTGATCGGACACATATCCGCCACTAATTTGACCCTTCGAGTTTGCTTGGTGTCGTGGAGGAGTCTGGAGGAACAGCTGCCTGAGCAGAGCGGGTCTCCAGACAGGCGGCCGCGCTGCAGCTGGTGCACGCTGCGCAGGCTCCGAGGCTGGGCGCGCGCCGCGCCGCCATCGGGCACCGGAAAGACGGACGGCATCAGGGGACAACTAAAATATGACGAGACGGCATCCAAACCCCCTTCCAGAGACGGCTCAAACAAACGCGCCTCCAGCTCGGTCACAACCCCCTTTGCAGCCCACAGGAGCAGGCAAGGCCCCCTGACGGGCTGGCGGGCGCGCGGCTGTGCCGAACCGGGCGGGAGGCGGGAGGCGGGAGGCGGCGTGGCCCCAGCGGGGCCCCATACCTTTCTCCCCGCGCTTCTTGCGCGTGCGGTCGATGTGGTCCTTGAGCTGGATGCGGACCTGCCGCTCGTTGGGCTGGTCGCGGATGAAGGGGTGCTTGAGGAGCTGCTCGGTGGGGGGGCGCTGCATGTAGTTCTTCACCAGGCAGCCCTCGATGAAGCTGAAGAACTTCTTGGACCTGGGGAGGAGCGGACAGCGTGAGCCGGGCGCTCGGCCATTCTGCAGATCGCGACACCGGGGGGGAAACGACTCATGGCGTGCCGGGCTGGGCTAGATGGGCGAGAGGCTGGTAAATGAGCTGGTCTCAACCTGGCTGAACATGAAGAAGCCGTCGCTGGGCTTGCCAGTTCCAGACCGTAGCACAGCTTCTTTAATGACCACTCACTTAATGACCACCTTGGACTGCTGCTTTGGCATACAGAGGCATTTTTCACTCCCACACCTATTAGTGCATTAAAAAGGAAGTACATGCATGATACTCCTTTATTTCATCCCAGACAGTCCAGCAACCTTATCCCTGTTCAGCACCTTCATATTTCTCTGACATTCACCCATTCATTCTCTAACCGCTTCTCCCAGTTCAGGGTCTCGGGGGCGCCGGAGCCCATCTCGGCGTGTAACGGGGGCAAGGCAGGGTTCACCCCAGACAGGACACCAGTCTGTCCACCGCAGAGCACAGGCACGAGCTCAAGCGCGCACTCACACCTGAGACAGCTCTCCCAGAAGCTAATTAACCTACCAGTGCGTCTCTGGACTGCAGGGGGAAACCCACGCCATCCCGAGGAGAACATGCAAACTCCGCACGGACAGCACCCCAGGGTCCCAGCGCTGCGAGGCAGCAATGCCCGCCACAGTGCCCCCGCCCCTGCCACCCCAATTTTCTAACACGGTTTCAGAAAAAACGTAATTAAAACCTCCTGTTTAAAATCATGCACAGTTCAAATTTAGAAACGAGTTTTAAACTGCCATGGAAAAAAACTGATTTTCCACATCAGACAATGCTCTGTCGAAACTGTGATTCACCAGAACATTACCAGGAGTGACAGCACATACTGTATATAAGGGTGTAGCACCACAGAGCATTTTCATTGAACTGCCTTTGTTCTGCATTTATTCCAAACCACAGAAAGCCACATACAAAAACTTGACTTTTCTCCCTCTCTGCCAGAGATTGTTCTTCTGCATTATGGTTGTTTGGATTCTAGACAGATCTATATCAAAAGCTGGACTGGAAAACAAAACAATGAAGTAGATGATTTCAGATGCAAAGAAAAAAAAGTAAATCGCATCTGGAGTGAGGTTAAACGTAATGACCACATGTTTTTCTAACTCTGCTCTACAGCAGTTATACAAATCTATCAAAAAAGTTAGAATGAAGACAAAAAAAAAATCAATAGAACAGATCCCATAGGAATTATGCCAATGTTCTATTTTTCCGTATCAGACTGACTTATCTATTTTAAAACACTCAGGATGTTTTCCATCATGTTTGTTTTAAAAGTACTTTCTTTCCTAAATAATGTCCTAAATAAATAGCTTATAATCCATAACTGCTTAATTAAATCAATGTTTGCACTGCTTAGTGCATTTAAGTGTTTAAGACGGCTAAAGGACCCTTATAATAATCTGTTTCTAACTCTTATTATAATAATAATTATAATTGCTTACACTTATATAGCGCTTTTCTGGACACTCTACTCAAAGCGCTTTACAGGTAATGGGGATCCCCTCCACCACCACCAGTCTGCTCCCCACACACCAGCTCTCAGTGGGGAGGAGAGCAGAGTGATGAAGCCAGTTCAGAGATGAGGATTATTAGGAGACAATGATTGGTAAAGGCCAGGGGGAAATTTGGCCAGGAGGCCGGGGTTACACCCCTACTCTTTTTGAGAAACACCCTGGGATTTGGGGGGGTTTTTAATGATCACAGAG